TATTCAAAGAGTAATTTTCTCCTAACACTGCTTCAGAAAAGATGTGTTCCCTTTATTGTTTTCTATTTCTACCTCTGCTAGCGAGTTTTTGCTTCCTGTTCCAGTCCCTCGTACTGGTCAACCATGTTATCTCAGTCTTGGTCCAACTGTAGAGGAGCATTTTTTCTATCTTAGGTACTACTTTGTAAACTCAGGGAGACCAGTTAAATAATCAACATATGTTTCTCCATTAGTATTTAACTGTGTGGTTTGAAATACATTTTCACAACAAGCTTTGCAATGGAATCATTGGTTGATACACCTGAACAATAAATTTGACCTAATAGATTAATTTGGTACAAAATTTTCAAGTATTTAGGTAGCTTATTAAAACCTGTATCAGCTAAATAGAAATATTAAAGTAATAAAATACCACAAATGCATTAATGTAGACTGTTGTCTTTTTAGTCAAATTGAGGTCTCTGTTTGAGACCAAAACAAAGCTAGCACTTCTCCGAGACAAAGAGAACAGAAAGAAGAAAAACAGCCAGTAAGAAAACTGCATGAAGAAAAATAGCAACCTTTAAAAGACGGAAAAGGGGAAAACACAAAAGTATAAAAATTTAATTGAAAAATAAAAACGATGTTATCCCATAAAAACATTCCAAATGGGCTTGGTGGGGCTGTGTATGGCGGGAAGCCGCACGATGTACCTAAGGCACTGCAAAGTGTTAACATGAAAAACACATCAGAGAAGAAGAAAGGAGGGGGAGGGAGGGGAGCAGGCGGTCTGTGGGGGGGTACATGCATGGAAACACAGACATGTGGCCAGTACGTCCTACTTTGCAATTAGTGTGCATAATATGACTGCACATACGATTAATGGGGGTCAGTCACTTGTTTTAAGTCCAAATTATGAAGATGAAACAAAGTTTAGACAAAAAAAACTGTTTTAGAAAAGGTTTTTTGATTTAATCTTTTCAAAATAAATCTATTGTGTAAATGTACAGCATAAGATGCATCGCTCCACAGCATTTTGTGATGATGAGGATAAAATGAGGAAGAACTGATATATCTTGCAGGAAAAAAAATAGGTTGCATACAAAACAGTGAGTTGATCAGAAATTTTGGTAGCACTGTATAAAATTTCATCAGAGAAACAAATAATTTATTTTGTTAGACGTCTCTTTTCTTTTCTGGTCAAATCCTCCATTAATATATATCCTGCTTCATATTGTAAATGCAACTACATGCACTCTATTTTTCCTACTTTTTAAGAATTTGCATGTATTAATAAAAATAATTTATCTCAGGAATTTTGTTGCACAATATTCAGCATTACTACTTTTTCATGTCATCATTACCTACAGAAGAAATGGCAATGACATTTGTTCAAGACAAAGTAAGTAAATTGTCATTTACAAATACCCGATAGAAGTTCTTCAATAGATTTCCAGTACTTGTAGTGTTGTCTGATATATACGTAGGAGCAAAACTCTTTCATTCTACACCTGAAACCTATACAAATAGCACAAAATGAAACAGGGTGATTTATACCTGAAAGGTTAAGGGTTTTACTCATCAACTAAAGTGGCAGAAGTTAATTAGTAATTCACAATTAACTTTTCAGTATGAGTTATGATTAAAAACAGTACGTGCCAAGTAGCAGCAGGTAGGTTGCTTTTTTCCTCTTCTGTGGTTTCAGATACAATTTTTAATTTCCTGTCTAGTGGAGCAAACAAAGTTAGAACTTGTCAGGCTCTTGACAAGTCTAATTGTAGAAATGAAATGCCTTGAGCTAAGTTTTAACAAAACGTGTGTTTGTGAGGTGGAGATGCGGTGTGTGTTTATTCTTGTGTGTGCATGCATGCCTGCACACACAGATACACACTTTTTTTTTTTTTTTTGATAATAGAAAAAGTTGTTTGCTTTGCATATCCCGGATTCCCAGATTCTTCCGTTGCAATGGAACGATGGAGGCAAAGTAAAGAGAGGAGATGAGCAGGGAGAGAAGAAAAAAGGTAGAGGAATTAAGTCAGTTAAACATCTCAGGGACTTTTCCCATCTTTGTCTCCTCTGAGTGTTTACAAAAACCCCTTCTTGGCATTACAGTTTGCAGGAAGCCACAGAGGACCTGCAATCATACGGCAGTCTGACAGGAATGCCCTAAAACTATTAAGTCTTGGCATCTCTTGCACTCATTCTCACTGTGTTATCTTCCCTTCTCCATCTACACTTCACACACACTCACACAGAATAATTTAACAGAGGGCAACACAGGCAGATGCACACACAAACACACTCACACTGTCATGCATGAATACTGACACACTCAATCAACCAACCACAGCTTGCATGCTTGATAAAATGCTTTTTAAAAGGTTGTTTAAGTAGCGACTAGACAGTCAGCACATCCATTTAAAGTAGTCGAGGACAAACTAATACAAACCACAGAGACCTCTTGTTAAAAGCTCTAACTTTGGCTGTAGTAACCACTAAGGTCACATGAACCCGTGCCCTCACATCCAAGCTCACATTACACCACCTCCTATTCAACCCATCACTGTTACAAGATCAGATCATATCCAAACGTCTGATCCAGAACCTGTAGCTAATAGCCACCTCAGCCCTCTCAGCTCAGGGACTCATAATGGAACGAAGAGTGCTGTGGACTTACTGCTGCTCTGCCCCGAGGCTGTAATCAATTTTCCCCCCTGTGAGGGGGCTGGGCTGCAGAGTTCACTGTCTGATAAGAGGAAGCCAAGCAGGGACCTTTAGTTCGGCCTAATGTCAGGTTCACCATCAGATAAACACACTGATTTCATCTCACTGCGGCTGCACTCAGTGGAATTCTTACTATGCCTGTGTGTGTTTGTGTGTTTGTGTCATGACCTGCCGTTTGCCTTTTGTGACCGTCTTTCTTTGGCTGTGTGCACAAATATCTGTGCATATGATTAAAAGGGTTGTGAATATTCCTGCTAACATGCATGCAGCTTGAGGTGGTGGCAGTAGCCAAAGAAAAAAAAGGGCAAAGTTTTCAACATGAACTCGAAAACCTATGAACACTGACAAGGGTTTTTAGGATTCTGATGGGTGGTACACTTGCCCCCTTTTTTATCCATCATTCTTGTTTGGGCTCTTGGCTCTATTTCAACAGGGACAGGAAATTCAGGGAGTGAGAGAGGAAAATGACATGCAACGAGTCATACTTGGACCATGAACTGACCCCCACGATTAGTGTGACTGCAGCTTATGCACATGTGAGGTCTGCTCCACCAACCGAGCCAAACTAACGCCTCTGAAACAAACTTTTGGACAGGTAATGATAATCCGATTTTGATGTTGCTCGAAAAAAAAATATTTTTATTGTCAGTTAATTTCTTTATTTTTCGCACAACTGAACAAGGACTATAATAAGTCTAGAGAATATCAGAAAATGTATAAAGATACTCACAGATCACTAAAGAGGTGACCCTTTCAGTATCTCATGGTTTAATTCAATGTTAATTCTTCAAGTCACATTTTGATTCAAAATCAATACTCATTTAATTCCCATGTTGTTACACAGTTCAGGTTAAACAAAAAACACACTTTGTTGTATAATGAAAGGCTTAAGCAACTGTATGAACTTAATGTAAAGTTATTCTGAAATTTTACACATTGTTGTACACTGTGTGTTGATCAACTGTTGCTACTCCTTCAGACTGCAGGGGCTGATGTATGACGTGAGCTCAGGCATTTGACGTATTCATTCAGTGTAGCACATCTTGCAAAACCTATATGTTCAACTAACTTTCTCCTGCTCTATGATTTCACCTCTGCCAACCTCACTGGACATACAGTTGATTTTATTTTTCCATTATCATAGATTTAAATTCACATTAGCAATTAATTTGAAAAATCAATACTTGGTAAATGAGACGATACGATATATCAGCAGACAAAATATCACGATACGAATCTGTACTGATTTTTTTCTCTCACCTCTAGAATATCCCCCAACCCTGACTGTTAGGGTGCATTAGAGTATATTACAGATGGGACCAACTGTCTTTCTTGTCACTTCCAGACATAAATTACAGACACAGAAAGCTAGCTTGCTAACTTCGACTGGCTATCTAGCTAGGACTGGGTCAACCCTCACTACAGCTGTGCACTGCAGAAACCGACTAAAAATGCCAGCAGTGGGTTTGTGATGCTTGAGCTGGCTGCTGGTAAACATCAGTTATAAATTGTGGGAACAAGAGTTGTGGTTTTGATGAGAGTTGATCTGATTTGCATTCCTTAATTTTTTTTTTTTTTTTTGGCCATCAAACCATCCAAAAACCAAAGCCTCTTTGTTTCAATTCATGGATAAGTAGCAAATCCATAAATTTTAGAGGCTCTGATCAGTAAATGTTAGACATTTTTGCCTGGAAAAGGCTTTTAGTGTTTCATTATTCTGAACACAATCTAAATTTAATTTCTTTTGCTCAGTTAATTGTTCTAATGACTTAAGGTTTCAGTTCAGCCCCAATACATTAAAACTTGTTCAATTAAATTGCTGTGATTTTTACTAAGTGCCCTTCAAGACTGTTTATTGAAGCCTTTTTCATTGTGATTTCCCCATAACTACGTCTTATTATGAGACTTTTACCTCAGCATCATGAATGTGTTCCAGTGTAAAGTAAGAACATGTAAACTTTTAGTGTTCAGTCCATTGCTCTCATCCATCTATCATACCATTACTTTCCCTTTTAATTGCCTAAAACACTTCAACCACTAAAGCCTCAACCTGTTCACATTAGATGAGCTCTGTTTGTGTTGTGATAACCTCTCTCATGTGACTTCTCAACAGGAAGCCTGATGAGAGGGTATATTAAGGCTGTTAAACAGTTGAGGAGGGCTGGGGGCTTCTGGGAGCCCAAAGAGACAAGAACCTTTATTGGAAATGTAATTTTTGTTTGTCTGCAATTACCTCCCTGCTCATTTGTTTTACAGACGCAGTTGTTAGAGTGAGGAGAGAGCACGCTAGATTCTCTCAAGGATTGCTCTTCTGAGAGGCTGCGGTTTATTACAAATGGGAAAGCTTTCATTGCAGATTGCCCCAGCACTGCAAAGAGGTACGTGACCCATCTCAGGCGCACTGGGCTCTGCTCTATAGGGTAGAAGTCACTCACAGAGTGCACAGACAAGAATTTAACTGTGTGTGTTTGTGTGTGTATTTATAAGTTAGGAAGCATACACATATAAAAATATATGCATGAGTATTGTGTTTATGAATGTGTGTAAAGGCCGTAAAGGGACTCTGGATGAGACTGCATGAACAATATACCATGAAATCAGTGTGCATGCTTTAACCGTGTATTATAGTTTCCAGTAAGCAAACCTACTGGACTAAGGTATTTTCACGTTGCCTAGTGACCATCCATGAAGTGTGTGTAATAAGCTCGTATGACAATCAAGGACTCTTTATTTTGAAATATCACAAATCATTATTTAGTCAAAAAGGGCGTTTCTACACTCTGAACTGCGGACATACAAAACTGGCTACTAGCAAGAGAGTGTAGTATGATGCATCAGCAGCTGTTTTCCTCTGGAGTTGATAAACTCAAAACCAAAAACTACAAAGATGGTGAGGTTTGACTAGCTTACCTAGAGTTTCCAGAAATGTCACCTGAAAAAAATACAGTTACTTTATGTCACATCAATCAATCAATCAATCAAACAGTAATTACATTTTATTTATATAGTGTCAATTCACAACAGTTATCATCCCAAGACGCATTCCAAAGAAAAAGAGCAGGTCTTCATTGTTTGATGTCACATGACAGCGATAAAACAAAACAAATCTGTTAAAAATGCAAGTAATGAATTGGATTTTAGACAGCTTTTTTGGTTAAAGATTGAATAATAATTAAAAATCTTTATTTAGGCGAAAAAGCCCAACAATAGACACTATCCTTAACCTTCATTGTGTGTCAATACATGTTTCTTGGAAAGTAAGGGCTAATCGGTTTATAATCAGTGAAAATTTCTTTATATAGCCCCCCCACCGACCTCTGACCTTATTAAAAAACAGGCCAGTAGTTATTAGTCTGCTCCACACTAGGTTGCATGCACCATTACGGCCCCTCAGATGATAGCAGGTTGAGGGGGTGGGGTGTGTGTGTTGGGTAAGGGGTCTGGGGAGTAGGTAATTTGATTGGTGCAAAATTAGGGACTCCTCTGCAGAGGCATTATGGGAGAGTTCCTAGTGGGTCATTTTAGCTTCACTTCCTCCATATTTCTCAGCTTGATTAAAAATTGATCGGCGATGGCTATGTGAATATATTATTGGGGCCATTATTCACCCCTGACAGATAATTGGATGGTACACACAACTCTATTTTCTTTGGGGGCAATGCCATCAGTTGTGTGGCTCTGGTGTGTGTGTGCGCGCATGTGTGTTTTAGTGTGTGAGGGAGAGAAACAAGGATGAAAGCAGAGTGAAGAAGAGAGTGTGTAAGTACCGAGTGGATGGATGGTTCAGCTGAGGTCTTTTTTTTCCTCCCTTTTTTATTGTAAGTCAATAAATCACTCCCTCTCCTCTTCTATCGAGCCATCCCTCCATCCCTTCCCAACTCTGCTGTCACTCTCTATGGCTGTGTATGATGGATATGTTATTGAAACATCATACAAAGCATATAATCATTTTTCTGGTAATCATTCATAACCTATTCTCAAGAGTTTGGAATAGGGCCATGAAATACAATGTCAGATAAAACCGACATGGATTTGGATTTGCTTTTTAGTTTGTGCTTATGCTCCATCTCAAATTCACTTATTACCAAAGATTGAATTTCCCCTAAAAAGCACTCAAGCTGTGGAAAATGTCTGTGAATAAGCCCGTCTGATAGCAGTTAGCTAGTATAGCTGCAGGCACACTTGGATATTGGAATGAGCAAAATGCAATGTGTGCTTGGTGGCTAATGCTATTTGCTATTTGCCTGAGGCTTAGCTTGCTGCCATTTTCACGCCTTCTTAATGCCTTAAACTGCATGAAAAATGAAATGGCTTGCGCAACATGGAACTATGCATAGTAGTCTGATGGTCTGCAACTAACCAAGTGTGTGATGCAGCGTGTTGCCTTTAATAGTTCTTTAGACATTTTTCATTGCTGGTGTTTTTGTTGCAGGATAAATTTAGTAGTGTTAGTAAAAGTTTCTACATTTGGCCGCTCATCTCACAGAGTTAGATTTTAAGAGGCATCGTGCTGGATTTTATTATCTACTCGATCATTTCAGATGAAGTATCTGGTGCTCATCACATGGCTCTTTTTATTTAAAAAAAAAAAAAAATGGTTGTAAAATAGTATCTTGTGTGATGTGTTTGATCTGGATAATGGACATGAAGTTGTACATCAGCTTGTGTCTGGTTTGACTAACCATTTAGTCAATCAGCGCAGTCATGTGGTTGTAAACTAGCAAAGAGGACTGAAAGCTGATAGTGCTAACTTTGCTAAAGATTATCCAAAGACTCAGTGAACCGATGTGAAGCAAAGTTAAACAAGTTGTGTACAATTTTGACCTTTTAAAGGGTGTTTTTTTTCTTACCTTGACTCTAATAAATTAATCAGAATTTAATTAATTTATTTTTAAAAGTAGGAAAGTGATTTGGGACTTAAAAGAAATTGTCATGACAATGAATAATTTATAATGATAATAAAATAATATATATATTAATGATAACAAAATAAAGTTTTTGGGAACTTCTTAATCTCATGAAAATCTTTATCATTATATTAGAGCAGGTCTGAGTCAAGGGCCTTAGTTTCAGTGCATATCAACAGGGACCGTTTTGACATCATGGTTTCATGACCCCCTCCACATTAGAGCAATAAATGGTAAAATAAAAATATATCCCTGAAGGGAAGTTGTTGGGATCGATCGATCCACACCTCTGACACAAGAGTCATGACAGTCAGCTGTACCCATTTTATTCAAAGTAAATCTTTTTCTACAGAGGCAATTATCCCAACCCCCTCCTCATGTACAAATCAAATTAGTGGCCATGATCTCACTGATGGAAAGGCCTCTCAGGAAATGACATGTGTCCATAACATTATTTGCAGTCTTGCTAGCTCCCACATTATCCATCCAGTGTTGTTCAGTTAACTTCACTTTCTTTCTCTTTCTCTTTCTTGTTTTCTTTTTTATTCGTTACCTTACTTGTTTCTGTGCCCCCTTTTGTCGTTTTTTTCTCCTGCATGGTTAATTCATTTCTCCTCTTCCTCTTCTCCCATAACTTTAATGGTTCCTCTACAACATCCCTCCCTAATTCTCCTCCTCTCCTCATCTTTCCCACTCCCTCTTTCTCTTCTTGTGGGTGGAAAAAACACAGCTTTCCCCCTCACAAAGACCGTTCTCCTGAGTGGAAATTACCGGCGGAGATTAATAACGACATTAGGCAGTAATGATGCTGCACTGAATGAAATATTTATTAAAGATCCCTCTGCTAGCAATTAGCGTGGCATGTAATCGTTCAGCACAAGAAATCAAGATGATTGTGCCGCAGTCCCCCAGCCCCTTATTGCTCTCTTCTCAGAGCCCCCTCCCGTTAACACACAGTTAAAAAACAACCCCCTGTGCAGCCTTGACTTCCACAACAAAACCCCTGCACTCACATGTCTTCTCTCCATGACAACAGCAGCTTTGGGAGAACTGTGGAGTTCATACGTGTGTGTTTCGGGGGGTGGAAACGGTGGAGGTGGTGGTTCTTGCGCATCCAATCTTAATTACAGGCCCCCGTAAGTTGGGGGAGAGGACTCCAATGGGCAATTACACTGTCAGGGATGCAGACCGTGGGTATCGCTGCTGATTGGCTCAGGAGAGTGTTGAAGTCAGACCGCAGGCGCGTCAAAGAAAGCCGACGTTTTTCGTCTTCGTTCCAAGTTCCTGCCAAGCTGTCCAGGGCAGCAGCGAGAGAAGTGAGAGAAAAGCTCATTATTGAATGCCTGTCCTGTGTCTTGGAGTCCACTCACTTCCAATGCCTAAAGGGACAGGTTAGCACAAGTTCCAAAGAAGTTTTCCGTCCAAGAGATTTCATTTGTTAAACTTTCTGAAAAACTTTTTAAAGTTGTACGTTGTACAACCTCCTGGTTCAGCAATGAAACACGAGGGATTCTGATGATTTTTCTCTGAATTAATTTCAATATTTGGATGCTAAATAGTCATAAAAAAAGTTAAAATGGAAAGTGATTTTTAAGATGAAGTGCCCTCGAGGTAAATGCACTGAAGAATCTCAAGGCAGAGCCTATGGAAGAGTATTTAGTTTGAGTTTGTTGTGCGATATTAACCAATCACTAATGACTTTAAAAAACAGAAATCTATATGTTTGAGGTACACTGAGAATTTATCTTAAAAAAAATACTTCATTTCCACACTTGGACTGAGTTGAAAATGATTGATCCGACCTTTTTGAAATTATTTGTCGTCTTGAAAAAACACCTTACAAAGATGACCTTTTTACTTTTACAAATCTGCATTATGAACGAACTGAAAACTTATTGATTTTAAATACATCACAAGAAAGCTTCTTTTAAAGGCTCACACCTCTGAAGTAAGTCAGAGTGAAGCCTCTGAATGACAGGGTTTCTGCTGGGTTTTGAAAAGTCTCGAAACGTCTCAGATCAAATCATTTGAATTTGAGCCTTAAAATGTATAAACTTCTCTTAAAACCTCGAAAAATGTCTTAAATACAAATTTTAAAGGTCTTAAAAATGTATTGATGTTACTTACATATAAAGATTGATTTGAAGTTGTTTTGAAAGCCACCTTTTACTGTGTAACTGAGACTCACCAGATGCCCTGAGACAACTCATGGGGATGTGAAGAAGTTTTTTTCCAGACATACCCAACATGGCTTTTTTTCTGCACATAGATTTGCTTTTCAAGTTTTTGATTGGACTGAAGACAGCACAGCACATAGAAAAGTGTCGGCTGTGATTGCCCTTGAATGCCGTTGTTTGTGTTCACACAAGCATGACCTCATTTTCAAGTCGTCACCTGAGAAGGACAATGGAAAGAAGGAGGCGTGAAGGAGATGAGGAGGAGAGGCAGGTCAGGGTGGGTGTTTGTTGTTACAGCAAAAGGTCAGAGGTCAGATAATCAAAAGTGTCCGTTTATTGGCTACATCATCAAACCTCAAGGAGCTCATCAATGCAGCCAGTCAGGCGTGTGGCTCTGCTAATCAGCTCTCAGGCGAGTGTTTATCCGTGCCGATACCGTCCTCAGAGCAACTAGAAAGAGACAGAATGAGTGAAAGAAAGGGGGAAGGAAGAGAAAGGGGTAGGGAGCATGAATCGGAGAGCGTGGGCTAATGTAATACTAGTTCACTACACAAAGGGCAGTGGGGAGAGACGGATCAATTTGCAATATTGTGGGCTGCGGGCCCGGCAACAAAGGCAGGACATGAAAGCAAGCACATTAAGTGATGCTCTTGTATGAACTCTGGCAATCAATAAACATCAGGGTGAAAGGGGAGCGGGGCACAGAGTGTATGAGGGGAACGAGGGAAGTAGACAGAAACAAGAGGATGGGTGAAAGTGAGGGATAAGAGAACAATAGATGGAGTGAAAGAGTGATGGTAGAAGATAAGACTGAAATCTAACCACAGAGTTCTTTGTTTGACAAACTTTGCTGCTGCTCTCCACTCAGATAGTTAATTAGATAGTTATCTTTAGCCCTTTGATAGATTAGATAAGCCCTTAATTAATCTTTGAATCTAATTAACTTTCTTGCTATTAATAGGTTTGGCCACATTTCTGTACCTTTGACTGTCAAAGCAGTGAAATGAGTTCACAGTTCAGGCAGGGGGAGAATCCCTGTCAGAATGAAAAAGTTTTCTCCAGAATCGCACTCAGCCACTCAGTAAATGTTTTGAAAAACACAGAAAATCAATTAATGCAAAAATGTGTCTGACAGAGTCCTTTCTCATCGATGATTTGCTGTCATGTTTTCTCTTTTCTCTTCATCTCTTGATGACTTTCCAGCTGTTTGAAATGACTTAATTTAGTCAAACTGATTTTTCTGATTCCATCATTTAAGTTGAAAACTTTTTCCTCAACCCAACATTTTGAGGATCTTGTGTTATTTAACTTTCTGCAGTCATTTTCTGAGCATGTTCAACCACAAGGCTTTAACTGGATGCATGTTACTGTGTGAAAAGATTAAGTGTGTGTATTTCCTTTGTTCAGTATTGACTGTAGCTTGTACCTTTAAGAAATATTTATCGTTTCCATGAGAAGACAGTATTTCCTGCAACCTCTCTGCAGAAGTAATTTCCCTTTGGGACAATAAAATCTACCTTGACCTTCATCTTAAGAATGGGGATGATACTTAGGGAGCTTATGGAGTAGAGGAGGAGGGGGAGGTATGAGTGATAGAAAAACAGAGAAGATTTTATACCTTTATAAAAATATGCCCTCTACTTTTTTAATTTAGATAAATCCCGTTGAGATCAAAGGTCACTGGAACAAGGGAACATTAAAAGTTCTATAAAGAGGGGTCCTGCTTTCATATCTTAGTTCATCTGACAATTTCTCAGGGTTTCTCAATGAAGAGAGAAAGTCTAGTAGGTCTTTGTTTAACAATAGAAGTGTAAGCAGCTAAAACGCAGTGTTTCAGACGGAGCTTGAAATAATGATATTTTAATACACCAATATTGGAGGTATCAGAGTGGTGGTATGGAGTCTCAAAAAAACACATAACACCCCTCTTTAAAGTCCTGTGAAAGAGAGTTTTTCACGTCATTTACCTGCAAATAATATTATGTCACACACTATGAACATGTTATGTTAAATATACCTTAATGTGGGGACAAAAACAACTTGCTTAAGTTGTATTTTCAGGCTTTAAAACAGTAGATTGAAGAGGGATGGGAGAGTGAATGGGCAGTGACATAAGGCAAAGAGCCACGGCTTAGAATCTGATCCAGGCTGCCTGCAAAAAAAAAAAAAAAAACAACATGGAAAAATCTTGTGAAAGGTATGTGTACATCCAGTGTATAATCTTTAGATAGAGATTATTTTACTGTATGTCAAAGACCATAGACTGTACATAGAATGGACGTCGTCTGCCTCCTCGCTGGGTGAAGCCACTCCGAGAACAGCACCCTCTGTTGATGGGCTGCAGTATAGGTCATAAATCCCGCCTCCGCCAGCAAAGCTTATGGGGCTGTGGACAAACTTTAGAAATTTATTACACAGAACATACATTTTTCTCCCCCCTGGTTGTGATGTTGACATGTAGTTACTGTAAGACTGGTTTGTGCTCAAGTTCTTTTTTTTCTGTACAGCTCCGTTTTTAAAAGTTATTAGGGGGTTCATGTTTGCTATGATTGACACCTGATACAGCCCATGGGCGTTCCGGGATTGCGTAGCTCTCCCGGGGGATACGCTGTTTGAGCCGAGTGTTGTCACAGCAACTCTCTGCGACTGTGCGGCCGAATGAGCGCATTGCTACTGCGCAGCGCTGGTTTGAGGAAATGAAGAAAAATCCCGGAAATATCGAGAGCTATTCGGCTTCAAATCCGTATACAGGTGGTAGGCGGAACCAAGTTGTCCATGGTATATACAGTCTATGTCGAAGACCCAACAGATCCAACAGATCTCTTTGATGCCCCCTCCAGAGTTTTCCAGCATTCTCTGTCAACGGCCTGGTTGTTCCATTACACATGCACGCACATGCACGCACGCGCTTGCACCACACACACACACACACACACACACACACACACACACACACACACACACACACACACACACACACACACACACACACAGTATCCCCCCGCTGGGACCAGGGAGCTTCATTTGCATTATGATGGCAGGCAGATTAAGTACATTCCAGTGCACACTAAAAGGACTCATAATAAAACACATACACAATCCACACAAGTGCATGCTGTCTACACACACAGACACACAGACACACACACACTCTTGTCTTTGGGCCAGTAAGGCAGGCTTCGAACAAAACCGGTGCCCAGTGCAGGGTACCAATCCCATTACTTGCCCCGTCCTCTGTTACCCCCTACCTCTGCAGTGAACAAAGGATGTAGACATGGATAGGATCTAAACCTCAGTGAATAAGAGCAGGAGGAGGAGGAGGAGAAAAGCCAAGCGATGAGAGAAAAAGATGAGAAGAAGGGCAGAAATCAGGGTGGGGTGGGCGTTGGAGAAATAACTGACAGGCAGCTAGGGGGACTAAGCTCATTTAGATAAACGACAACCCCGACTGAGATAAAACCAATGATGATTTGTACTGCATCTTCAGGGCATAAAAGTCGTCCTATTTGATTCCACTGGGCCCCGGCGCCCTGTGATTTCACAGGCCCTTATGCAGAGCGATTGTGTGGCTCCCAGCGTGATGGTGCAGGCCACTGGAGAGGGGTGGAAAGGTGACTCCTGCAAGGAGAGGGGGAGGAAAGTCCCATCCTTAGTTGGAAATGTCAAATACAATGCACAGGGTGATGGACAGAAACTGTGAGGGCTGATGCCAGGGTCTTCCTGTCTCTGTTGTTGGGTGTTTGATTTCTTCCTCTTTCTGCCCAGCCAGTGCAAACAGACTCACAGCTGCTGAGTAATCTGCAGTCAAAGAAGCTTTTGAAGTTTAATCAATGGTTTGATAATCAGCTGTGCAAGTAATCAGTATGTAAAAGCACTTTTTCTTTAGGAAACCAGGACTGCAGTCACTGTGAGCCACCTATATATATATATATATATATATATATATGCTCCTTCCTCTTTTTTTTCATTTCAAGTATTTTGATGCGAAGCATAAGCAATAGATATGTAAATGTCCAATGATATAATGTTCAGTATATCAGAATCAGAATCATCACATCCCCACTTGTTATTGGATGTAAATGTTCATTAAATAAAAAAGAGGTCAAACTATTTAAAGATCTCATAAATTATTTCTCTTCATACCATTTGCCAAAATAACTTTGTTTAATGACTTACAAAACATGACAGTCAAAACAACATACCAGACAATCAGTTCATGGGACTAAATTGGCCCAATTTAGTTTCTAAAAGTACACTTGAAGCATACTTGAAAGTTAACTATAATATTAGTCTACTAGTAATAAACTTATAGTCCCCTCTTTAGTTTCTAAAAGTACACCCTAAACATATTTATATATATATATATATATATATATATATATATATATATATATAGAGAGATATATATATATATATAGTGATATATATATATATATATATATATATATATATATATATATATATATATAATACATACAGCACATATAAAGGTATGTTTCAGGGTGACCACAGTGGGGGCCACAGTCCCCAACATGGGGCGCATTTTAATCCACTCAGCTATCTGCATGCTGACTCTGAAATATTAGTAAAATTGCCTGTAGTATGCTATTATTTCAATAATAGTATATATTTGTATACTTGGGGAAAAAAAGGGGAAAGAAAATGATGCCCCAGCAAGTGACGAGGTACAAGGACGATTTCACCACAAAAGCCGACTGGTTTGATAGATTTGTCCTCTGCAACCACTTTACTGTGAGAAGACTCACAACTGTTACCCATTGCAATATTTCCAATAAGGTTATTATTTGTTGTTTTTGACTGTGGAAGATTTCATAAGAGAACAATTAAAGGCACATGTCTTATTGATGCTGGTCCCAGAAAAAGGCAGGTGGAGTTTGCAGATGATACCAATAAAAGCCAAGGCTACAAATTTGAGTTTTACGGTAGTGGCAACAGTTAGACAGCAGCTAAAGTTAACCTTCAGCAACATGCAGGTTAATATTTCTGCTGGCCGAAGATGGCCAATCTATTACACAGACTGCATATTAATATGGATACCAAGAGTGTTCACAAACTGTGAAGCCAAAAGATTTAGAGCTCGGCCACTGTGACTGCAATACAGATCATAAACCCTGCCTCCTCTATTATAGCAGATGGACATGCAGTAGGTCATACAGTACCTTGAAATTGAAATAAGAAAAGTTTTTACCAAATCTGGTTTCTGTCATCACAGTTGGTTCTTATTATGTCGAATTGAGTCCAGGTGTTCATTTGAACAAGTTCAGCTTTGATCAGTTGTTTGGTTAAAAAAGGGTTAATTTGTGTATTTACTTTTAATTAGTATTATACCATTTTTTTATTGTATGAATTTTATTTATATAGTTATTAATACTTTTCTTTTTTTTGGCTACATAAATGCATATATACTTTTTTGTCCTCTTTTCCCTCTTGCTTTCTTCCTATATTTATTTTTCTCACTATCAGAGGCCAAATTAACTGGTGGTATTATTCTTACCATAAATATTTTGTCTGTTGTTACTCTTTCTTGCAGACAGAGATAAGAACCAGAAAATTGAAAGAAAAATTTATATGAATATGGTTTGATACTGAGGAGACCAACAAGCCTGCTACACGACTGTACACTTTGGGTGTAATATATTTATGTATGCACTTATTTACTTATTTTTCTTTTCCTTCTCTTTTTTCTGCATTGTCCTGAATTTATGTGTATGTGTTTGTATGATTTATGTTTGATCAGAAAATGAATTATTATACTCTGTGGCACATGAAAATAAAATTAAACATTATGGTTAAAAAAAAAAAAAGGATTGACAAGTCCACTGTGTGTCACTACTGTGACAAGAGAAGAACAAGAAAACGTACCAAACATTTACCGTTCCTAAAGGCAGGAAGGTTTACTTCAAATCAACACAAGGATCTGTTCTGCTGTGCACCAACCTGAAGGATCCTCCATGTGATATCCATGATTTTATTGCATTTTTTAGGATGTGATGTCAATCCCATTGCCCTACCAGACATGGAGCCTGTGCACATGTCTAGGCTGCAAACTATTATGTGAGTATCTCATAAAATCAGCAGAGATGAAGAGATGTTGTCCATTCTATGTACAATCACTCATACAGCATTGTGTTGTGAAACACTGAGAAGCTATGGCATAGTTTGTCCTCATAAATGAACCTTTGACGCATTTTTACAACTAACAAACTGAAACATAGAAAACCTTGTAAAAGCTTGTTAGCTTCCCATGGTGGGTGAAGTTAATTATGTGAGGCTTTATATTTTAAAAAGAGATAACTTTGAACAGTTTGAGCATATTTTACATTTCAGGAAAATCTGAAATTAATCAAGATAAGAAATTAAAAAACAAAAAAACCCCAGAAACATCAGGGAGAGGCTTTTTTATTCCAAGTTAACAAACCTTTGGTTATCCCTGGCTCTGACTCTCTATAGTCTTAAATGTTATAGAGCAAGTTTAGCAGGTAAAGTTTAACAGCACAAAGAGCAATTAGTAAGACAAATATTCAGTATTACAATAATGCTATATTTTTCAGACAGAGACTTTTTATGAGTTGATAGAATAGTGTTGCACTTTCAAAGAAAATAATTCTTTAGAAAGAAAATTCAGTTTTACTTTGCCTTACAACTCAAAGTAGAAGCCCTGTTTAAATAACTGCACAATGATACAATGATTTTTGATACTTTGTAATATACACAATGATATTTCCCTTTGGGATCAATTAAGTTCTTGTATTGTATCATATTGTACAATAGCCTGGCCTTTATCTTGAAGGGAAATTTAAAAAATGAGTTATCAGGTATTTTTCCTCATTCAGTCTAATGATCCACTCAAAGTTTCTCTGGGCCTATTCAGATTTGTCTTGATGGCAGCATGCTTAACCCATTAATAATAAAGGCAGCATGATCGTTTTCTGCATGAAAACTTCTACATTTAGATTTAACTCTCCCCTCCCCACCATCCTCAGGTAAAGAGCCCTTGGTCTGAAAAATTAAAGAGTCTGTAAAACCCCTCTTACAAATTAAAAAGTAATTAATGTCTCTACCTTGAATGTACAGCAGCGATCTTACTCCATCCTCATGGAAAATATGAGTAGGCTGTAAAGTGGTCCCCTCACAATCCTGCATTTAAGGTCTGGAAAGTAGCGGTCTCCACCTTGCTTAAAAACTCTGTTGCATTAAGGCAATTAGACCATCTCGGCCTAAATAATAAACTTGAAACCCCACAGTCTATGTTCAATATTTCATCTGTTATTCAGGTAGCGGGAGTGCTTCTATAGTGAATACACTTTCTCCACAGCATGGCTCTGTAATGCAGGTATTTTTCGAGTGAGGCTTTTAGGGGGTAGTTAGGTAAAAGCCATTGGAACGGCACTCCCCTGTCCGCTCCTGTGGCTGAATAATGAATTTTTACCTGCGTCCTGTGCAAAAGTTTCTTCTGCTTATCCAGCTGGCCAAATGGGTGAGAGAGTTAATATTAGAGTTCAGAACTTGACTGAAAACTGCAGGAGTGCTGTAGCTAAACCAATACTTATCGTCATTTACACCTAAGGCAAGTGTACTGAACATGATAAACACTTAAGAGGGGTTTATGAGCTTAAGTGTTAATGTAGAAACAGGATGAACACCACAAAGACAAGTTTATATTATATTTCTTTGAGTGTTTAAACAACATATTTAAGACTGATTTGTGTAGGTGGCATATGAAGCTTTAAATTCATTTTTTTTTGGACGTCTATTCCTTTTCCTTTGCACTTTTCTATCATACTTGGGATACATGAGAAATGTTAGTTTAATGCTAACATCACTCACTGATACATTCTTAGGATTGAAGACGGTCCTAAAATGTCTTTTGTTGGAACAGGCAATTTTTCACACATAATCAATAATGTATTGACTGCACTCAAATGCAGATGTCTTTTATGAGGTTCAAAACCCTCTCCTTTATTTTGAAAAAGTTCACAACTATAAAACTATTGTGAACATGAGGTAAAATGATTGAAGGATTTGTTTTCAAAGTCACAAGGTTAGCAAAGACTAATGTGTATATCATAAATACCACCACAGACAGGGTTATTCTGCCTTCAGGTCTTCATTCCAACAGCAACCTCTTAAATGTGAATATGTGTTTAGCAGTTTGAAATCAAAGAAGTTAACAGCAAAACTGAGAAATATTACACATTTTAAACCTCAAAGTAACACCCAAACATTGAGTCAACCAGCAAGTCAAGAGAGGGGGAAACAGAGATCTCGACCCAGGTTTATTCTGGCCATACTAACACAGAGCAGTAAGCTGGGTTAGCAGTAATTAGCACTGGTGGGTGCCCTGTTAAATTGAATTTAACGACAACACAGCAGTCTCACTGAGTGCAAACTAATCCTGGACTCTGAAGCATTATGTTTAATGGGCCTGAAAGAAAATGATGGCCTTTCAAAAGCAAAACCAATTAACACAGAGTGGAGATGTCTAGTGCTGAGCTTTCCAAATCTCATAAGAACTTCTGCCCTCATGTTATATAACTGGATTTCTCTTCATTTTGAATAATGAAGGAGGTAGAGAAGCATGACATAATATAGCTATCATAACTCTGAGACCAATGAAAGAAAAGTGGAATATGTTTCACACAGTGGCTAGGGAAGCCGGGGGAGATATGTTTTATGGCTGCAGATGTGCTGCTACTGCTTCACTTGTCTGAATACCCCTTCCCCAAATTACCAGGGACCACTTACAACTTAAGAATTTTCTTTTTTGACATATTTCCCCCTACATATTGTATGTGTTTCTGTTTAATATAGGGCTGAACGATTCCTCGAGTACCTCGATTACAAAATATGATCGAGGAATTTTTCTCTGCCTCGAGTACTCGTTTATAATCTCAAATTGTCACTGTTTTACACAGATTATTTTCAAGATGACATGATACGCTTACGTCACCACGGTAGAAGAAGGAGTAAGCACGGTTTTGGTTTTGCAGAGTGGAAAAAATGAATGATGGGAGGGACTTTTCTTCTGCAGAGCTCCAGTAGCTCATTAGCAATTCGCCTCTGAGTCGTGGGCTGAGACAGCACTGCTATGCACACTCCACTCCATTCTAGCTTGCAGCCTAACATTGCCGGTGTAGTAGAAGAAGCAGGTAATATAAGAGCTATTCAGCTCTCAGACGCTAATGTCTTTGAGGACATGATGAAAGTTAATATCATAGTTAGCTTTCTTACGAGCATTACGATCCGCTAATGCACACACTTGTTCTACGTTCCTTGTTTCTAAAGTAGGAAAACATTTGAATGTTCATTATCAAGTTTAATGTCTTATTTTCTCTTGTATATAAATAATTGCACTTTAAAACAATAAAATCATGTTTTATTAGATTGTTTGATTAATCAACCAAAATTTTGGTAGAATACTCGATGACTAAAATATTCGATAGCTGCAGCCCTAATTGAGCATACTTTTTGACAATTAAAGGTACACACGGGAGTCAACAAGAACAAAAACTTTGATTGATACAGTTTTACTCAACAAGTCTCAGGGCTCTATTTTCGTCCTTCGCCTAAGACGTGGTCAGGCGTGACGTAAGTCAGGTCCGCTGCACCGACAAGGCGTTCCCAAGCACAATTTGGTATTTTGGTGAGCGGCGCAGCACGGCGTAAGTATCCCCCCTCCCTAACTCAGCTCCTCCCAGCAGCGTACATCGTAGGAAGGGAGGAGAGAGGACATGGAGTGGGTTTAACACAGCCGAGACCTGTATTGACCAATAACATCAGCTCCTCTCCTCACCTTTAAATCTGCCACCGGCGAGGCGTATTACTATTTTCGTGAAGTAGTCAAAGTGGTCAAGAGATGTCTGAAGACAGTAATGCCACACGATAGCGACAGAGGGCAGCTCCTCAACAAGTGTCACTGTAAGCGCTGCATTGGGCGTCCTCCACACTCTCTCATATGAGCACAGATGGATTTGGTGTGTGTAATGTTGGACCCACTAGTAAGACAAACACCCTACTCCACAAAAAAAGACACTCAAATAAAGTTGCATATATTCAAACCTCACGTGACAAAGGTGGGTTGTGCGCACAGATCACATCATCAATTCCAAAAATGGCATTAAAATCGGAACCATCTGTGCGTAATGACGCATTGCGCTCCGTGGCCTGGCTCTTTCTTTCATAGATGTTGGCATACAAAATAAATTTGGCTCACAAAACTGAATATTATAATATTCGTATGTAGGCTTAAAGTAAATTACTCATCTGAGCACTGAAACAAATCATCTGTTCAGCCGCCGCTGCAGCAGCTGCAGCAGCAGGACGGGGAGAGGACACAGAGACATGTCCAGGTCGAGCTGCGCGAGGAAGAGGAAGAGGAAGAAGAAGAGACAGAAAGAAAAGGAGGGAGACGAATTAAATATCTTGTTAACTTCATCATGTGTGTCTATTTACTGGATATTTAATTTAACTTAATGCGGTTTCAGCTGTGTTGATTCGGTCAGGTTGTGTGTCTTACCGTGCCAAACGCGCTCATCAGATCAGATATAGATCAGAATATATCGATATAGATCTAAATGTATGTGTTGACTCAGATTATTAGTTGTTGATGATTATTTATTGCACTGAAATGTGCCTGACACTGTGGAAACCTGCCAGTGAGGCATTGGTGACGTATGCCGATACGCCGCCGGTCTACCAAAATACTACTAGACCAGCTGCACCGGCGAGCACGAAAATGTCATTGAGCCAGCTAATTCTGTCGACACCTCCCCCTGCCACGCCACCACACCCAGCTTGACGGACCTCGGTGCGCCTCACTCTATGAAAATACCAAACGCCGGGCTCTGCCAGACGAAAATACCACTGCGTGGGCTCAGCCACCCTCCGCCACGCCCCCGGCGGACACGAAAATAGAGCCCTTTGTGTTTGAACAAGTGCATTTTGGTCATTTTTCCAATCATAAGAAATGAGTCAATTTAAATTTGAAAGTATCTCAAGACCGGAATTGTTTGCATCTGTGATTTATGGCTTGCTTCTATCCACTTGCAAGCTTCTTCCTGCATATGTATCTATGTGCACGATTTCTTAGACGGATCAGTGGAATTTTGTAGATTCATGTTTACATTTACTAGATAGACTCTACAAAGACCCAATAATAGAGAATAAGAACCATAGAGGTCATAAACCTCACAAAGACAATTTAAGATTATTTTTGACAAAGTAGTCAAGAAATATGTTATATGTATACTTTTCACTTGTCTACTACATTCTCAAAGCAGAACTACATCATTATCTACCAGTATTTGACTATAAAGTGCGATGTTTTACTCCCTCTAAAGCCCCTCAAAGGCCTTTCGGAAGTCTTTCTCTCATTCTACCCAGTAGGATAAAACATTTGGAACTACACTCATGAATAGTAATGAAACACAACAGTACCTTTTTCAAGTCTGTTGTCACACAGTTAAGTCGCTTTTTCAATCTCGCCTAGACTTGGCCTCAATTCTCGGTCTGTCCTGAGATTCTCCCTACCACCTGCTGTGCACAGAGGCATTGAAAGCAGCGTCCACACTTTCATTGGAGGTTTTTAAAGTCCACTGATGCTCTAAATGTTGTTTCAGAGGAGTTTTCACCCTGATGAGAAGGGGATGCAGAATGAATAGTCAATATGTGCGGTTTTGTTTTAAAAACTTAAAAAATACCACAAAAGTGTTGTGGAAAATTTAGACCATAATTAGTCTATCTTCTCTGTCACAGTGTAAAACCCTGTTTTTTTGCCTTGAGTGTAAGTCTCTTCAGCGTACCTACACTGAAGAAATACACTTCTCTGGAAGATAGAGTGAAGTCTTGTAAGACCCGGTGGATTTCTGCCGTATAGAGACCATATATCAACGTAATTAAAGGCCGGTGTAATGACGCAGGGCCTCAGCAGCATGATTTCTGTCTGATCGCCACGCTGCTTCATTAAGACCACTCAAGCTAACGAGCTGTGGCTGTAATAAAGTCCTCCCCCCGGTCTGCCGCAGTGATGAAGGATCTACCCAGAGCAACCGGAGCCAAGGCTTGAGATAGAATTAGTGCTGGAAAATCTTCAGCTGAACTTACTTTGTGACTGCTGATAGGCAGGTGATTGGGTCAAAGTACTTTTTGTGTAGGACTATATTATAAGTTTTAATTGAACAGAGCCGCACCCAAAGCACTGGAGAAATCAAGCTATTTTCACTATTTCATATGACTGGGCATAATCAAATACCGTGGTACAGCATCAAAATCTAATTTGGATAATACTATTCTCAGGTTTATTCTCCATTCTGCAAGATATCACTTGATTAAAAGTCTCTGCAGCCTGAAAATATAGCACCTTGATTTTGGAGAAACTTTGTTGACCTGGAGATAATGACATGTCTGCTTACAGGTAGCTGGTTTCACTGTTAGACATACAATCAGATAACTTTTCTTTACATCAACTGTACTCAATTTGATTAACTTTGATTCTTGCCAGTTACAAAACCCAATTCCACTGAAGTTGGGAAATTGTGATAAACGTAAATAAAAACAGAATACAATGATTTGCGAATCCTTGTCAACCTATATTCAATTGAATACACTACAAAGACAAGGTATTTAATGTTCAAACTCATAAACTTGTTTTTTTTTTGCAAATAATAATTAACTCAGAATTTCATGGCTGAAACACGTGCCAAAGTAGTCTGGACAGGGGCATGTTTACCACTGTGTTACATTACCTTTCCTTTTAACAACACTCAATAAACGTTTGGGAACTGAGGAGACTAATTGTTGAAGCTTTGAAGGTGGAATTCTTTCCCATTTTTGCTTGATGTACAGCTTCAGCTGTTCAACAGTCCGGGGTCTCCATTGTCGTATTTTAGGCTTCATAATGCACCACACAATTTTAATGGGAGACAGGTCTGGACTGCAGGCAGGCCAGTCGAGTACCCGCACTCTTTTACTACGAAGCCATGCTGTTGTAACATGTGCAGAATGTGGCTTGGCATTGTCTTACTGAAATAAGCAGGGGCGTCCATGAAAAAGACTTGCTTGGATGGCAGCATATGTTGCTCCAAAACCTGTATGTACCTTTCAGCAATAATGTTGCCTTCACAGATGTGTAAGTTACCCATGCCTTGGGCACTAATGAACCCCCATACCATCACAGAGGCTGGCTTTTGAACTTGAACAATCAGTCAGAACATCAGTCCATCTCAGATGAGCTCGGGCCCAGAGGAGGCGGCGGCGTTTCTGGATGTTGTTGATAAATGTCTTTCGCTTTGCATAGTAGAGTTTTAACTTGCACTTACAGATGTAGTGACAAACTATTTACTGACAGTGGTTTTCTGAGGTGTTCCTGAGCCCATGTGGTGTTATCCTTTACACATTGATGTTTTTGATACAGTGCCGCCTGAGGGATCAAGGGTCATGGGCATTCAGTGTTGGTTTCCAGCCGTGCCGCTTACGTGCAGTGATTTCTTTAGTTTCTCTGAACCTTTTGATGATATTACGGACCATAGATGTTGAAATCACTAAATTCCTTGCAATTGTACTTTGAGAAACATTGTTCTTAAACTGTTCGACTATTTGCTCACGCAGTTGTTCACAAAGTGGTGAACCTAACCCCACCTATGCTTGTGAATGACTGAGAATTTTTGGTGAAGCTGCTTTTATACCCAATCATGGCACCCACCTGTTCCCGATTAGCCTGCTCACCTGTGGGATGTTCCAAATTGGTGTTTGATGAGCATTGTCTCTGTAGTATATTCAATTCAATATAGGTTGAAAGGGATTTGCAAATCATTGTATTCTGTTTTTATTTATGTTTATCACAATTTCCCAACTTCAATGGAATTGGATTTTGTAGATGACGGCATACTTTTAAACCTAACTAAGCTTAACTGCACGCAAAATAGACCAGACAATTCTCAAGTATTCACTTAAAAAAAGTTTGGAGTAGTGTGCAACATTGCACTTGTATTTGAACTGTAATGACCCCAAAGAATTAGTCAAACATGGAGGTTTGTGAAAACAGAGTTAATATTACATCTAGAAATGTTAGGTTTGGATGCAGCTCAAGAAAAAAGGTGTTAAAAATGTTCCTTATATGGCATCTTAAATTATAAGTATGTAATCCCCTAATTAAACCTTATTTCTTAGAAAACTGTAACTACCATGTAAACTGCAAATGAGCTAGAGTGTAGATTTATACAGATGCACCTTATGAATGGAAAAACATTTAGAGTCCTTTTAAGTGGATTCAGTATTAGTCCAAAGACAGCTTTTAGACTATTAAATTCAGGATAACTGTCTTAGCTGTAAAGTATCAGGGGTCTTATAATCTGGCAGTTCTGACTTTCCTTCGTTAAAAAGTTTTTCCACACATCTTGTAAATCCATCCACCCATCTATTCATCCATAAGCTTTAAGATGCTGACCTGGCTTCTTTTTCAGCTGCTCCTGGGGGATCCTGAGGCATTCCCACTCTGGTCCGAATGTGACGACCCCTTCAGCGTGTTATTGGTGTGCCCTTGGGTGTCTTTCCAGATGAACGTGCTTAGACTACAGCTGCAGTTTGGTGAGCATCTACTGACATCTAATGTGGTATTTTTGTGCGCAAATATAGAAGAGTTAGGAGGAAACACTAGTTTGGTTACAAACACCAAAACATCATACTACTCTATTTCTTACATTGAATAAAGTAATTCAATTATTTTAAACGTCTTCTATCCAGGAGAGCCCATATCATCTCTAAAACTTTTCCTATATATTAAGTGTATTTTCACCAGGAATGACAACAGACAGCATTTCCATTTCATCGCAGCAGCCCCTGATTTCCTCCAGATTTCTCCAGGTTCATGGTAACTGCTGGCTGCTATTAGTCTCACAATAGGACATTAACCTGTATTCCTTAGTGCAATTTGATGGGCGATTCAATTCCAGCACTGTGCCACCCGCTTTCCTCGCTTCCCTCTGCCCATTCCTCCCTGTCCTCATCCTCCAGACACCTCCCCACCCTCTTGTCTCTCTCTCTCTTTCTCCATTTGCCGTGGGCTAATCCTATTATGAATTCTTTATATAGCCTTTTCCCTTAATGATCAGTGGGGCCTACTCCAATCCTGATTACTATTGTACACTTAGCACTACATAAAGCAGGGGATTAATATGCCCCGCTAGGATTGTTGCTATGGATCCACTCATTGCCTTCCTAGGGATGTTGCTGCCGCTTCAATTGGCCATAAATCGCTCTCCCTGGTGGCTTCCCACGTACCAGACAGGCCATGCAAGAATTAGGGTTGAATCTCCTTCTCTTGTGGTCGCTCCGTCTCTCCCTGGGCCCAGACGAAAGTGATCTGCTCTATAATTCATGACCCAGCGTTTTTTCTTTTTTCTTCCTTCAAATTTTTTCTCTCTATCCCGTTGATACTGTAGTAACTGTCCTCCTCAGCGCCCTTTCCCCTTTGAGACGGTACTGTTGGAGTGGGTGGGCACCTTACATGGACACACATCGTGAATGAGTGAGTTTAAAGAAGTGATGTATTCAGGAAAAAGAGCTCTGTGATGTCAAACATGGACGAGGAGGATGGAGGGTGTTAATGGGTTCAGCGGCGTTCCCTGGTTTCAGTGAGGAATTCTGGGAGTGTTAACAAACCGTTGCAAAGTAACTGCAAGAACAAAAATGTACAGTCAAACTTTCTTTGAGTTTCTCTTTGAAGAAATATCAAAATGCAATGACTTCAGGGTGAAAAGCTCTATAGGTTAGACCCTATGGAGGACTTGCCATTCTAGTAGCTCCCCATTATATTTCAAGTCAATGACTTAGTATATCAGAAATGCTGTTTTGATCTTGAAATGTGTTCTGTAGAGAAAGGTCACAAGTGTTGACTCACACTCCTCAGACTTTTACTTTCAAGTTGGCAGTGTTTTGTAATGCTATTTTTACCTCTGTGAAACAGGGAATCCCAGAGTGAAACTCTTCTACAAGAAACAGCTAAAGGAAGAAAAAAACACACCAAACTGCGGGGAATCCTCGTGTCTTTATAGTGCTCTGTTAGCTCCTGTAGCGATTTAGGAAGATTTCTCTTTTATTTAGTGTGAAAACATCCCTCCTCTTTCTTCTCAGGTTTACAAAGAACGGTGAAAAAGTCAAACAGCGTAGTTTGAGGCAAGGCTCAGTATGCTCATGGGGAAAACCTGCCAAGAAACAGCAAGAAAGCACCTCTTTTTGATTCAGGTTTCTTTGTAGTTACAGTCAACCCTACAAATATCTTCATCACCCCACTAGTCCCTCCTTTTCTGCACAGCCCAGCGCCCTCGCTTATTCTACTGTGAGAAAAGATTGTGATTTCATAACCTTTTCCCATTAATATCTCACCTGTTATTGTATGGCTGCCACACAGTGCAGGCACAAAGGTATTAAGGTACTGTAAATAAGGACAGGCATCTCCTTTCTTCACCTCAAACAACAACATTCAAACACCTTTTGTGACAAACCCTGGAACATAGAACAATATCTTTAATGCACTTTAAAGTAAAACTTGACTTTCAGAACTGCTATTACGAGTTTTATCACGTCTTAATAACATGCAGTAGAAGTTTATACTTTATGAATGACAGAAAAGAGATGGACAGAAGTTTGTGCTCTTTTTAATGGTATCCAAGACCACCTTAAGCCACCCTTTTCCTCCTCCTAGTGCTGAGTTTTGAGCTTTCCTGGTGTGCAGGAATCACCCAAGCTACATTAGCTTTTGAGTTATAGCCAAAGCAGCAGCTGTGACTGACCGTCTGGTCTCTCCTCTCAGACACACCACGTCACATGTTCGAACAAGATGGTGCCCAAGATAGAGTGAATGAGCATGAATGAGAAAATCAAGTTGGAAAAACCAAACATGTTGCTTGTATTAAGTTCCTTTATTTACACTGACTCAATACCATGAATAGTTTGACAGAACATTATGCTATGGTTTAATACTAGGGATGAAACGATACAGCCAACTCCTGATTTGATATGATTTTCGATTCTGGGTTGCCGATATTTTCAGGTTTTTTTAGTGCTGACACTAAACTTTTTCAGTCAAATTATGACTGACAAAGATTGCTTTAATCATTTCTCAGGAAAAAAAAAAGTCTGAGGTAGGGTGTTACTTCAAAGCAAGCTATGCAATGAATGCATATGTATAAAACACATTTATTATTTAGGTATATAACTACAAATTATATTGTCTTTTTTCTTTAACAAGCTAAAGAGAACCCTCTTTTTAGTTCTCTGAGGTAGAGTAAATTGTATAATACAATGCATACATCCTCTAACTGAAGTGCATAAAACAACAAAAAAATAAATGAATAGGGTTTGGGTAACCCGAAAATCCAGCTGGAAATGGTCGTCTTCCAGGCGCAGCTCTCAAAGGAGATGGTGAAATTCCCAAAACTGCGTAGGCCTCTGCAGAATATAATATACCCAGACATGGCAGCGCCTACATCTCCAACGGTTGTTGGCCTCCCACAACAAATACAAAGCAGCGGAACGTGGTTCACTCCTACCATGCTTGATGGACTCTCCCCTTCTCTTGTATCCACAGCTTTTAAGCACTCTGTTAATGCACAAATGGAGCAAATGATTCTCAGGAATAGAGTGAGTCATTCATTGGATGAAGCAAGTAAATACTATTCATGTGCGTGTCTAGATACGTGGGAACTAAGCGAGTAAATTATTTAATTCGCGCTTGGTGTGAACGCACCGTAAGAATGCTTAGGCCTACAATGTCCTCATCATCAAGGATTTCTGAGTTATACAGTGAGGAGATCTATTTAATTGGTAATAAAATTAAAGGGGTGTAGATAGTGCGTGAACAAAGTGTGAACTGTAGTGAGTATACAAGGAGTCAGTCATGACGTCTATTTGGAAAGTTAGGATTCAAGGCAGGATGAGAAAGCATTTAAAAGAGATGTGTCAGTCCTTGTGAGAAAGGCTCTGCTTTAGGTAGTGACCAAGAGAAATTTCATGTATGCAGGAGTTGTTAAATTTTTACTGGAAAGTATTTAGAAAATGTAAAAACATATTTTTATAAAGCACTCAATTTCCCTTCCTCTACTCACTCCTTCATTTCTCAATGCTTTAACCCTGCAGTACTTCTGTAGTTATCCATCTGACAACACATGATGTGTCATTGACCTCCATGTATGACCTAGTGTGTTGACTTCGGCACACACTGTTAGACCCTTAAAGTTGTGGTTATACAGTGTGCTTAACGCCCAAAAGCACACAAACACACAAACACTTAAACACACTGTCATCCTGGCCAGGACCACCACCTGCCCTGGCCTGTGCTCCTTTTCCTCCAGCCAGGGAAGCTCATGCCTGGGCACTCTGGGCAGCAGCCCAGCCTTTCACATCCAGGTCCAGGGCCAAGAGACAGGGGCCAACAGCTGGCTGTGTGCAGAAGGAGCCTGGAGGCTTCCACAGCAGATGAATCACCACGGATTAATATTTAACTCTAGACTCCTGCTCCCCTCCAGCATCCCCCCCTTTTTTCTCTTACAACCTTCGTTCTCCCTCCATCCATCTTTCCATCCCCCATTCCTGCAGGTAAGTTGGCATATGCTCGACAGACCTATACCGTGAATATGTGATGGAGATGCTCTTTTTCTGATGTGAAGGCAATTGGTGCAGAATGGCTCAAGCTCAAACATGTCACCCTTCGTTTTGCAGTTTTTGGGGGATAGAGGGCTGGGTATGTTATTTTGCTGTATCAAGTATTTTCTCTTCAGATTTTATTGCTTTATTTGAGAAAACTGAACACACTTTGCAAACAAAAATATGAAGTGATTGTCAGACTTGAACAAAAACAACGAGCTAGAAATTCTACAAGGTTTACACTGTGGTTACGAATGCATAAAACATACAAACTACTGGATAAGAGAGGATAAGAGATTGATTCAGAGCAAAATGACCTTCAAGAGCACAAGGTAAATGCAACAGTAGTGTCCTATCCTGTCATTTCTTTCCATTGAGAAGTGCTCTGAAAAGTTGTCTCCTGCTAGTTTGAGGCATCAGTCTTATTTGTGGTACATTCACAGCTTGGGATTTGACGAGTGCTCTGATATTTAGCTGGCAGAGTTTTTTTTAGCAGGTACTTAAGGCAGGTCATGGCTGAAGTAGAAAGCCTCAGCGCTTCTTCTGTAAGCCCAGTAGCGTTAGCCACAACCAGAGCCAGGCCTGTAATAGCATTCTCAGATGGGATCCGTTATGATGACTGCATGCCTGCCTCACTTCTCCAGCTCTGATTTTGTGATTAAAGCACCAGACCGCTTTTCTTCCAGACTGCTTCTCTCCCTCTGTCTCTTTCTCCTTCTGTCATAGCCTTCCTTCAACCCTCCATTTTCCATCTCTGCATCTTTACCCTTTCCTTCCTGCTTACTTACTTTCTTTTTTCTCTTTATCTCTGTGAGTCTTCTCCTTTTCTTTTCCACTTCTTCCTCTGGCTCTCTCTCTCTCTCTTTCTCTGTCTGACTATGTGCATATATGTTTGTAAAGATATATCGGTCCCCTGTGGTTCCTTCTCATTCGCATGCATGTTCTGTGAGCCTCAGCCATTCGAGTGTACATAAAACCTCCTCTTTATTGCCAGACATAAAAGAGAAAGAAGGGAAACTGAAAAGAGGGATTTCTTCTGTTCCTTAAAGAAGGGACGCTCTGATCTTGCTTGTAACGGATTAACCTTTGAAGCACCCCCCTTTTATTTCGCTTTTTGTTTTTCTTTCGCTCTTCTGACTTTGGACACAAAAGCAATTTTGTCCAGGCTAAAAAGGGCAATATACAGTTATATGGGTCATGTTGTGATGCTGAATGAAATATGATTTTTTTTCGGTCGCTCTCCCATCTCCCTCTTTGCTCCCCTCTTGTCTCTTTATGACTGCGTTCAAGGGGAGCACGGTGGCGCATCGCTGAATACGTAACCAACCAACGAGCCAGTGGAATTGTGGGAATTCATGGGAATCGCTGTGGGGACGGGGGTTCTCGCAGGACCACTTCCTGTCTGTCTGATTCAGGGACGCTCAGGGGTGCTGGAGCTTCCCTCCACGACATCTCTGACTAGGCCTCAGCGGAAAATTTGTGTCTTTGTATCAACCAGGAGTGAATACACTCAGAGGGGCCAGCAAACTTCAGAGCTCCCATTGTCTTTCACACCAGCCAGGATCTAAATATGAATATGCATATTCATAAGTGAGAGTTCAGCTTCATGGCCCCTATAGCCCCTCCCTTTTTCTGCCTTTATTCATTTTTTTCCTCGTCTGAGTCCTTTCATCTAATTTCTCTTCCAAATGAGGTGTTCAGCATATGAAAGGTTATTGTGTCACACCCCTTTGGATTTTACAGTAGTAGAAAAAGAAAAAAAATATAATTACATCCTTTGCCTGTGTTATTCTGTGATTAGTATTGGATGATTATTTCTGGAAATTAAAGGTGCGTGGGATGATACCACGAGGTGAGTCCCAGTAGGCTTTGGGGAGACAAAAGTACTTAACAGCTCAGTTTTCCTGTAGGTCAGCATGATATTATTTCCTTTAAACTTGTCTCTGTAGTTAAAAAGTGAGACACCGAATCCCAAGCTGTCTGGCACAGGGAGCCCTCAATTTCTTGTCAGCACTGATACTCATTGCAATCACCAACACCCTGATTCATCCTGATCTATCTCGCTGAATGTGAAATGTGCCCTTTTAAGAAAGAAACTCAGAGCTTTAATATCTGTAACGTATTTGAGTTGAGCGTGAAGGATTTGAGCAAGCCCATGCTACTCAGTGAAAATCAATGGCACTATTAGTAATCATAGTTAGCGTCTTCTTTTCCATGGAGTGATGAGAAGCTGCTGGAAGGCCCTCATAGCTCTGAGGGATACAGTTACACATGAAGACAGGGAACATCAAACTTTCACTGTGCGGGCAGCTGAAGGGAGCTGTTAGATCTTCAAAGCCATGGACAGCATGTACAGTAGATGGATATGTGAGAACAGGTAGGAACAACTCGTTAGATTTCAAGATCACGTCAGAACACTGCCATGGACATGATTGAAGTATGCATCTAGTACCATACTCCATTCATGCAGCTTGAGGGATCATATTGGCATATAAAAAGCTTCTTTCGTCAGTTGTTTGTTACTAATCAACAACATCACAAGCATAAACACATCAAGGACACTTGAGAGTATAAGTTATGTATGTATTAGGGGTGTTCCAACAAGTGTTCATCATGATTCAATTTGATTATGGGAGCTTCAGTTCTTTGATTATAAAGATTGTCAACTCAATTTGATTATTGGTTCCAAGAGTCTTTGATTATGGCCATTTTTAATGCTTTTCTCCACACAAGATTGATTCTGTCTTCATCTGTGGCTACATTTGTAAATAAATAGCCTTTCAATTAACTCAATTGCTCTAAAACTACACTCAATAAGTAAATGGTTCTTTGAACATTTGACTTGCATTTTTCAAAGACAAAGAATATTTTATTTACGACTGTACGATATTTTGGGATGAAAGCGTACAAGGTGCTGCCTCATGTTTGTGGTGTTGCTGAGCTACTACTCACTAAACAGTCCAGGCAGCGCGTGTGTTAAGGTTATGGTTACATGCTTTTTTTTTTTTGCATTGACATGAATTAATTAATGCCGAATCGTCGCCTGAAGCATTGCGATGCATTGACACATCAGTGAATTGCACCCACCTCTTTTTGATGGTAAATGGCAACTATTTAGAAACTCCAACTTTACTGACAGAAAATACCCCTGAACTGACTTGTGCTTTTGGTAAATGTTAAGGAACCGTCCTTTCTGAAACCTGGAGTTGCTCATGCTGAGATCTTTATGCTACGCTGTCCATTTTCACTCATGTCTGATCCACACACACACAGTGACAACAGCTTGCCTCTGTTATGGGTCTGGAATCAGTGTGCCACACTGGAGATCTGGACGTGATCATTACCAAGGCCTGGAGTCAAGGCCATTAGCTGCCCCCCCCCCCAGTGAATTATTGGTCGTCTGTCAGGGGGGCCCAGTGTCCGAGGCCTGTCATAGTGAAGGATGAAGGGGTCCCTGCACTCTCCAATGAGCCGTCCATGGAGATGCCCGCAATAAATGACCCATGAGCAGAGACACACCTTTCATCAGTGAGAGCGATTGGTGTATTGGGATGACTGTGTGTGTGTGTGTGTGTACTTGATATGACCCTTTAAATACCCTCCTCCCTCTTCCTGTGATCCATATCTTCTCTCTTCAAGGCAACAGGCCGGGGGTATGGCTCAGAAGACTTCCTTGCCCTGTGCAGATAAAAATGTAATCAGGCTCTTCTAGTTTAGGATCACAGTCGTAGTAGAGATACAATCAGCACAAGTCCTCATATAACCTCTTTTAGATAACTACTCATACATCTATATAACCTGCTTAAGAATTGGTACAGAGAAAAGTCAATATCTGGTTGGAGGAAAGAATTAAATGTCTTACAAGTTCCTTGAAATCATTTGCTTACTATCCCTAAGAATGAATTCTAAATTAGGCAATATAAAAGTCCATCTCACGGTTTATGTGAATGCCAACAACCGCTCCCAATGCATTAAACAGCAGGAAAAAGTATGAAGGTAGAGCCAGGGTACTGACCATCCCCCCTAAGAGCTCCTCATGGTTTTTATTCAGGTGCTCAATAAGTTGTCTTTTATTGTGTTTGATTGTGAAATGACAGAGGATGCATCTGTTCCAGTACAGAGGTGTTCAGAATAAGTCCATACCTGTTCAATTTGTCTCTGAGCTCCCTCAAGTCCTGAGCAATACACTGGCCGAAGTTAAGTGAGTCAACTGGATAAACGCTCTCTGGATAAACAAAGAACAGACAGGGAAAAAAAAAAAAAAAAACAGTGACCATTCATTGTTCAAGGACAAAATCTTGAGGCTTCTATCCAGTTAATTTATGCCTTGCCTGCAATATGTAGAGGCAGGATGGTGGAGTGGAGTTCTCCAAGAATCAAGATAATGGCAATGTGTGATGCCAGAGCTGGCATCCCTCTGTTCCAGTTTAAAGACATGGTGATGACAGAACTTGGGTGCAGAAGTGGCTTCTGACAAGTTAGCCAACCTTACATAAGTAACACCTTTAGTTTGTGGACCGAATGAGGCACAACAGTGTTATTGTCAAGTACAGATGTAGTAGAGTCAGTTACTGGTCTCTAGAGGGAAAAAATAAACTGTTCTCCTGTTCATTTTTTTATGTAAGTAAATATATGTTTTATCTCTACTTGCCCTGGCTCTATTTTTGAATTTGATGTATAGTCCAAGATTGTATCACCTGATTAGAGAAAATTACCACACATGAAACATGTGAAGGATGTAAATTCCCATTGTTTTTCTATTTACAGTCTTCCTTTCCTACTGGTTTATGTAAATACAATCTTGTACATAAAGTCATTATCACATCCATTTTATCCTTGCTTTCCAAAAATAAGTTTTAAACAGTCTTTCCTCCCTTATAATCTTTTTCCTTTCCTCCCCCTTTACAGTTTTTAACCACTTCCTGCATCTTTCCTTACCCCTCCACTTTCTCCCTAACTTCCCGTTACCTCTCCTCATTCCTCATCTGCCCCTTATGCACCTCCTCTCCTTCCTCTGTAGTGGTACAGTGTGTGTAGTTGGTGCTGTGGTAAGCTTCGGGCAGAAAAGTAGGCCAGTATTACTCTTGCTGGCTTGTCCCCAGTGAAGCGTGTGTTGCATGTATGTGTGTCTCTGTGTTTGTGTGTGTACGTGTGCGATCAGGCCTGGGAGAGAGTGGGCATGCAGGCTGGCCAGCCAGCAGTCAGCCAGCAGTCAGGGTAGAGATGGGCATATGGAGTCTCAGTATTGGGCCAGCAGGTATTTTTTCAACGTCTGCTCTCTCCTCCTTTGTTTAATATTTCTCTGCTTCTCAGCGTCCTGGCTGCAGAAACCTGTTTGTGCTGCCAGCATAGACCTACACTATGCTATAAGCTCAGACAGAATACCACTTCAATCAAATGGACATCAGAGTGTGCTCAAATGTCAAAAAACGCTGCCTTTTCAGTATTGGCAAGATAGGTCTGAGTAGTTTTGACAGGACCCTAAGGTATGTTCATGGAAGTTTTCTAAAGTAGACATGACAACAGAAACTCTCAGGTTGAAGCAAACAGTGAAAACTTTCAGGACTTGAGTTGTGAGGATTTATTTGTGGTACCTACAACAACAAAATGAAAGTAGAGGTGGCAAAAGTATGAGACGCACTTTTTAAATGTGACGGGGTAAATTTGCATTTTTCTGATAACATTGAAAGTGACTGTTCACATAAGCAGTGACCCTGTGGATTTTAGCTTACATTTAAATGTGTTAAAATCTTTATATACTGACCAAAACCAATCCCAGTACCTAATAATGTGTATAAAGCAAGCGATCAATATCAGAATTTCGGAACATATACTGTATATTATTGGATGACAATCACTGACTGTCCATATTACCCTAACCTGAATAATAACGCAGTCTTTCTCTTCCAGAGCTGAGATGTTATTGTTTGTTATTGTTAAATATATTTCCATGTAGATTCTCATTTATCCAGGTCATGGTTTTCTTGAAGACTCCAAAATCAGGCAACTGGACTGTGTAGAGTTGAGAAAACGTTTCGCCTCTTATCCAAGAAGCTTCTTTAGTTCATAGTTCGAACTAAAGAAGCTTCTTGGATAAGAGGCGAAACGTCTTCTCAACTCTACACAGTCCAGTTGCCTGATTTTAGAGTCTTCAAGTTAGATAATATTCTACCTTAAAACCAGCTGATTCTATTTTGCTAGGGCAAATGAATGGTAACATTAACAAATAGAGAGGAAATCAGCCAAAAACCAATGCCCTGTTTCAGGGCAGTATCTAGAACTTGTACCAGTTTTGGCATGAATATGCAGACGCTGGTAACCATATAAGAACAGTCTAGCTTAGAGGACATGATTTTGTTTCTGTTAGTCAGAATCAAGGCAACCTCTACATGTGTCAAGAGTCATTTTCAAGTGATATAAGTACATATCAGGGGTGTGCCATATCTTACCATGTACGCTGTACCTGTGTACTTTCCTTGGTGATACAAATTTGTCATATCGCGGTATTTACACTGTAGGGACGGAATGACATATGACGTTCCCTACTGCATACACAAAAACAATGTCAGCGAGCAAGAGCAGCACAGGATGAGCAGGATGTAGAGCCAAAAGAGGGAGCTACCTCTGTGGTGTGGAGGTGGTTTGGCTAACGCCACTATTAAGTTTTACCATCTAAAGCTAAAACACACAGCGAAATTTCAGCAGGCTTTGAAGGCATGTGATGAGAACATCAAAGGAACTCCTATCCCAGCAAATCTGAATTTATTTTCATAATTTAACCCCTGTTGTTGTTTAGAAGCAGCAGGCACTAACAATATGTAATTTATATATATATATTTATATATATGTCATTTTGAGACTATATCGCCACTACTAGTACACGATATATAAAGTTGCTTAATAATTCCTACTGTTGTGGCAACAGGGTTTATTCTTTTGTTTGACCATTTATTAAGCCTTAGCAAAGTTTCATATAATGAGATACTTATTTGGTAGCTTAGTTCCAGCTTCTATGGCCACAAGTAAACAGATTACTGAACCATTAGATAAAGTCTGTTGCTTTTTGAGAATCACTTAACTGTCTTTTATACCACTGTGGTATGTCAGCTACTATTCTGACACAGGAATCCAGCTCTCTGATGGAAATCTGATTAAAACTGAAAAACATGCCTCTGACCAGGTGACAGTGTTTAACGTTGGGTAGCATAACTGTGCAGGTGTAAGCGTTTAGTGCTGTGTAATGCAACTTCTCTTAGGCCTCCTGCTTTTGCAGCTGCGCATAATTATAGCCCCTTTCTCTTTCTACCTCTTTTGATTGCTTCCCCATGTATGTGCAGATTAGCCAGGAAAAGAACATTATACCGTACAGTGTGCTTTATTAATACTTGAGCTCTCATAAACTGAATGCAGCCATTGTAAAAGCTAATCATAGAAAAGCAATTGTAAGGAGTCATTATCGTCTTTAATGGAATCTGGAAATAATGCTCTGATAATGTTTAAGAAAGTTAACAAAACTTGGTAAAACTATTTTAAACTAAACAGATTTCTTTTAAAAAAAGCATGAAGGGTCATAAAAATTCACTCCACTTGTGCATTATGGGCAGTACACACACGCACACACACACACACACACACACACACACACACACACACACACACACACACACACACACACACACACAGATTTGAGTGTATAACAGAGGGCAGGAGGTTGAGAAGGGGGTGGGGTTTCATCCTCCTCCAGCCCATGGCTTTCTCCTGCCTAATTAACCATCATTTTAGGCAGAGCCTGAACCGCACTGATGGGGGATAAGCTAGCCTTTGACGGGGTAAGGCAAGCGTAGCAGGTTCTAATCAGGGACCTGCAAGTGGGGCGGAAAACACCTGTTCTCCGTACAGGTGTACAGCTCAGCACATGGCTGCACTCTTGCCCTCCCCCCTCCCTGCCTCCCAGCTCGTCTTTTCTCTTTCTTCTTTATCTATTACACAATTGCTGACTCACAATCCTGCACTCTGTTTGACTTGGATTCAGTTTCACCTCCAATGTACAATCAGTCACCACATTTCTGCCAGTGTAAAAGGATGATTCTGCCCAGAAATTTTGTTGACTGGGAATACAATGGCTTTTGATGAAGAGTGTCTTAATTTTGTGGGGTTTTTCTTCTTGTCTGAACACAACAGAGACAGGGGTCGCCAGGGGTGTATTTAACCAAAACCTGGATCTATCAGTTTATTGTCCTCTTTGAAATCAAACCCCACTCTTACTTTTACACACTGTGTCCAGGCCTCTCCCTCTTCATGGAAAAGAACAGGCACAAGTTAAGCAGAGAGCCAACACACTTCTCACTGAAATAATGCTGTTACTGTCTATAACAGCATCATTTCAGTGAGAATGTGCAGGCAAAGCGGTCATTTTTCTGTGTATTTATGCAAATGCAAAGCTTTTAGGTTTGTATCAGCAAAATTTCTAATTGTCTACATTTCTATTTTTTTATATGTGTAAAGCACTTTGTGTTGTATGTCCATGCATAGAAGTGCTCTATAAATAAAGTTTGATTGATTTGATTTGAAAATGTGCGGCTCTTTTAAAACTTTCAGTCACTGTTATTCTTGAAAAAGTTTTTGATGTTAGCTCATAATTGGACAAGTGTTGCTTCTGGTGTGTCACGGCCCTGATGACAAGGCACAAGTCTTCTTAAAGAAGGTGTGCCCTTGCACGTCGACACCATCTCCATCCTGGATTTTCCTCCTCTCCTCCTTTGTCTTCATTGGAAACAGCCCGCACCATCCTCTTCACTGGAGGAAGCAGTGCATGGATAATATGGTTACGCCGTTACTGATGCATAAAGCTGCGTGTCTGGTTCTTGTCAAGACCTTGCCACCAAAGTCAATTTGCCCGTGCCCTGGCAGAATGTAATATTTCTCTAATCAGATCAACACGGAAATTACGTTGGTGGACTGTATTGATACGAGAGGAAATAATTAAACTCAGGGCTCCAGGAATAATTTCACCCTCTGAGCATTACTGTAAACCCCATAAAAAACACAAATCCGCCCTCTCCTCCCTTCACTGCAGGATGAGATAAAGAGGAAACCAGGAACGTAGATAGACGGATGAGATTTCATTTATTCGGCTTCTGTTTCCCCTCCAGTCTTTCAGCAGGTTCCTCTCACTCAGATGTCCATTTTTACATCACCATGATCCAGCACAGTGTCCAAAAATCACAGTCAGTTTCAGCTTCGAGAGGTCAGTTAGAGGTGTCTAATCCTGCCCTATGTGAGGTTGTTAGCAGACACTCAAATGAACCACACCAGACCTCTGTAATGGTTCCTGTTGCATCACACTGGAAGAAAAGATTCGCCCTATTTGGGTCCCACCCCTGCCTTTCTTCCTTGTAATGATGTCGACCCTGGATGATACCTACGATAGGTTTACTCATGTTTAATGCTGTGCTGTTACCTTCAGAGAGAGTTAGTAGTTAAAAGTCCTGTTGGGGTCCACATGGATCAGGGATTGACCATCGCATAGTTCTGTGTTGCTGATAAATCCAGAACCAGGAAGTATTTCTCATCTACATGAACTGATGCACAGTCGGGAGTACGCATATGGCATTGGATTTTGAAATACCAGATGACAAGCACATGTTTCCATGCTAGACTTCCTGTATAGAATCATTTTCTCTGTGTAAACTGACGTGTGTTGGAAGCGTAGAGCAGCAAAAATAGAGTCTGCGCATATCTATAGCAGAGCAGTGCTCGATACGCTTCTGAGACGGAGCTGATACGCGTCCTGTGCGCGATGCTACATTGATTAGAATGGGAACGTATTTATTGTGTGCTCAATCCTGTGGACTTTAGGCTTCAGTTTAACAACAAAGTGATAGGTCTTGAAATAGGAAAAAAAAAAATCTGGAATTCTGGATTTTCTGACCTTAGAGTACTGACTAGGAGTACCGTCACTTTTTTGGTGTATGATCTTTAGAGTGATCAGTCCTCAGAGTTGAACTGTTCTTTGTTTTTGAATTGGCATAAACACTCACTCACATTAAATCCTCATTTAGTCACTATGTGCCAAGAACCATAACTTTTAAGGATGACCAGGAAAAATTGATTCAAGGAGAGTTGTCTGTGTTCTTAAATACAGAAGGGAATTTCACTGATCTTTGGCCACAGAGGAGATGTACAGGGTTTATAAGGAGTCTGCAGTTTCAGCTGGATATGACTGAATTGATCCTGCTTAGTAAGTATTTTTAGGTCCAAATTCCTGAACATTTTTAAGTCTTTCAAAGGGCATGTTTTTGGTTTTCAGACAAGATTCTGTTTGGATATGGTTGCTTTTTATGATGTAATGTTATGTTGTATTATGGTTGTCTAATCCAAACATCCATAGAGGGTAACAAAATACTAATTAAATCAGTGTCAGATGATATTTTGTCCATCTTGTTCATAAGGTACTTTGTTTATTTGATTATGCCTGCTTTGTCTCAAAAACTAATTGCCAGGTTACCAGGTTACCTTACAGTTTTGATTATTCACCCTTTTTTTTTTTCTTTGAGGCATTTTGACCAAATCTAATTTGGAAAGTTTAATGTGTCTATAAACAGGCTAACAGGTGGCCTAATGAAATTATGAAGGGTGTGGGGGACATGTGAAACATTATCTCACTGGACAAACCTAGAAGTGATAACCTTCATTCTTTTGAGCACACTGTACTGCATCAATGGCTTTATTTATTGTGGGTGAGCCACAGAACTACATTTCTTTAACCAGGAGTCCTGTGTGAAAATTCTGAATGCATTCTTAAGGTTATTATTATTTTTTTTTGGTAACGCTGTATTTTCATAGTTTTCACTTTACATGCTATCAGCATGTCGACAGTGTGTTAGTGGACAAACTTTGGAAATTTATTACACAGAATAAAAATTTTTCTACCCCTGCTTGCGATGTTGACATGTAGTTACTGTAAGACCTGTTTGTGTTCAAGTCCTCTTTTTTCTGTACAGCTCGATTTTTAAAAGTTATTAGGGGGTTCATTTTTTCTATGATTGACACTTGATAAAGATATAAAGATTGCGTAGCTCACCCAGGGATACACTGTTTACGCCGAGTGTCATCACAGCGACTCCCCCGCTAAATGCGTACAACGCTACTGCGTCAGTGGTGATTCCAGGAAGTGGAGAAAATCCTGGAAATACAGAGAGCAATTCAGCTTCAAATTCATATAGTGACGGAAGGCAGAGCCAAGTTGTCCATAGTGTATAATATCTATGATTGGCATTCAACAAACGTAATCTAAACAGACAAGTAAAATGCATTCAACTAACAACCTGTAAACTATAAGCTGTACCAGTCAACATTGACACAACTGTCAAAAGACAAGCAACATGCTGGATGCATTTCGATTTCAAACATATTGCATTAACTTTCTTCTAACCATCATTGTACTTTTGTGCTTGCTATGTAATATTGAACAGGCTATCAGTAGATGTCTTTTTGTCAAAAAATCTTTTTTTTCCCAACTTTCAGCTGTCGTTCCTTGCACCTTGCTGAAATAAGGTGAAGATTTGTGTACAGATGTGCAGAGGCGTCATAAGGGAATGAGGTTCAAAGTGTCCATGAATGACAGGGGGCTCTAAAGATATTACAACATTTCCAACAGCGAGGTGTTAAAGCCGTACGTGGTATTTTAAATGGGACCCAAAGTCACCTTTCACCTCTGACCATACCCAGCAGGAGTTTGTGATCCAAGACAAAGCAGCAAAATACTGAATTATATTCTAGTAACAAAAATTCATGATCAACAACCAACTTTCTTTAAATTAACATGTACGTACACACACACACACACTGACTGTTATTCAAGAGACTCTTAATAGTATTTGTTAAAGAGGGAAAAGCACCACTCATTCATTCAGTCTTGTCTCAGTACTTAATGGATTTGGTTACAGCTTGTTTATGTTGTGTCAAGGTGACTGCGACTACCGTGGCACTCAGCTGCTCTTGATACTGCTGGTTAGTAAATGAAGAGAAGGTGTTTGCAGGAATAAAACACAATGAACCTTGATCAGGCTCTCAGATGAAGGATTAATTTACTGTTCCTTTGAATGAGCAATCCTCATGGTCCATAATTACTTAAGTTTCATTCTGGGTTAATTATGGTCATTAGCACTATGTGTTCTACGTGAGGGGCTAATTTTGAGAAGAATGACTGGGGATTTAACAAAAGGGAAAAAAACCCACAGGAGCCTCTGAAATAAACAGATCATTTAGTTTGGAGGGGTGGAAATTGATAGAAACAGCAGGGAAACCGCTGAGGAGGGAACAATTATTCAAATGGTGCGACAAAAGCAGATGCTACAAATTAGATTTGTTTAGCTAAGGTGCTCCCCTACCTGTTTCTACTGGGAAGCTTAAACTGAAGATGGTGTTTGTATGTCTAAGTGTGTATATGAGAGGAAATCTGACTCTTAAAAAAGGTCCCCATGTTCATAAAATGCTGCCCAAGATACTCTTAACCTGATCAGGAGGTTTAAAAATGGTGAAATACCAACAGATTTTATGCCTAAGCACTTACCAAAAACCAGTCTAGCAGATTTTTGGTAAGTGCTCAGGATGTAAGAAACATAATAACCAACAATTAAATACACAACAATGCAACAACCAAGGATGATTGGCTAGTGGGAAGAAATAAAGACACCACAATGGAGAAAAGATAAAAATGAGAAGAATAATACCAGATATTCTAGTTTAATTGGGAAGTAAATTTATTTGTATTTATCTTTCTGCGTTTCTTTGAGATTTTAGGTATGGGAGTCCTGGTGCAATCAGAAGATTAAATAGAGCGTGTGGTGTGCAGAGAAAGGAAGGTTGCGAGGGCCGGGATGATGAAGGCTTGTTTGGCTCCCCTCGTGTCTCCTCAGCAGAGCAGCCCAGCGTGAGGAAAAGCTTGTTAAATCCCTAATAGTAGCTATCAAAGGCTATTGATTATCTTTCCCGCCCTGTTTGGGTGACAAAGTAAGCATTAGCTGGAGCCACAGAGAGCTTTTTAAGACACGTTTTCCTCAGGGGCTGCCCACTCCCCTGGGCTGTCCACAAGAGAGATCACACACATGTACACGTACATGCACATGCACATACACACAAACACATGCACACACTAGCTTGTATCTTTTTTTCAAAGCTAACAAACTGCCATCCTTTCACCCTCCTGCCACCAGATAATCCATTTTACAGCCAAGGATCAAACACTGAGCCTTGTGGCTGACTGACTACTGTAACACACACACACACACACACACACACACACACACACACACACACACACACACACACACACACACACACACACACACACACACACACACACACAAATACCAGGCCCTCCTTAGACTTGCTTTAAGAAGTTGGCCTTTGCAGTTTATTTGGCGTCAGTTTTGCGGTTTTGGCCTTGATGCAGAAGAAACATCTTCCCCGTTGAAGCTTAAAAGTGAACATCACACTGATACAGGGAACAATGAGCACTCTTTCGTAGGTCCTGGGAATGATGTACAGAGCAAATCTGCATAGCCAATGAGCTCCTTCTCTATTCCATCCCGTTTTAAGTGCATTCCTCCTGCAGCAGTGGCAGAATACTCAGGGAAATGCAGTAAAGTATGATGGAAACTGGAAAGGGGTTATGTCAGGCAAGTTATACATAAGGCATTATAACAACCAAATTAATGGATGTCTGTTGAAATATTTATTCCATTAACCCCTAGATTTCAGGCGGGCTACATGGAAATTTAGAAAATTCAAAATGGTACGTTTGTGTCTTTTTTCGCTCTGCTGATCGGGCGTCTAGTTTGCAGACCTAGTGATGTCAGGTTGATTTTAACGCGCTTTCTTTGTTTGCACGGCTTTGTTTGTGAAGACCTCCCCCTCAAAAAAAGAGTGTTGTTAAAAGGTTGATGAAGGCTGCATATTCTTGCATAAGTAAGACAGGAGAGTGTTTGAGTCTTTGTTTGAGACAGCCACTTCTAATACTACTTTACCATTTTATCTATAGTTTTGGAGGTTTTTTTTATTTAAATCTTTTTTCCTTTAATGATTGGACAGTGAATGAGACAGGAAATGTGGGTGAGAGAAAGGGGATGATATGCAGCAAATGGTCAGAGATGATACTCAAAACCACGACTGCTTCACAGACGATAGTCTGCATACATGGGGTGCACTAACTCTGAGCTACCTGCATGCCCCATTTTATCGACAGTTTTACTGTTTTCATAGTTTATTGCCATCAGATTAGAGAAAATACAGTATGAAGCATTTAGAGTAGGACTGGGTGATTATATGATCGTGATTAATGATTGTGATAAATTTCAGTTCAATCACAGGGATCAGCTGTGAGCATATTTACTTGTTTAAACATAGCGGAAATGTGCGTGACAACAGCCAATCAGAGTCAAGCTTTTCCTGCTCACTTTTGTAAGTTGCTGGAGAGGTAAACAGGAGAAGTAAACAGAATGACCGAATGTGGAGCTAAACGCGAAGCTGAGGGCAGCAAAATAGATGTGAGCCATGACTTTGAGTCATCCTCCGAAGATGCCATTGTTATTCAACGTTGGTTGTGTGGCAGTGGTTCGGGTATCTCCAAAGTGAGATCGAACAATTAAGGCGATGTGCGAGGTATGTCGGCAGTTGGTGCACTCAAGCACCAGCAAACACAACAGATCTGTTTAATCATTTGAAGTACATCCCAAGTGATGATGTGGAAAGCATGAAAATACGAGCAGAGTCTGCACAGCCTGCCACTGCTGACGGCACAAGTAGCATTAGCATCTTAGCCACAACTAGCGGTGCAGCCACTAGAGCAAAGCAGCAATCAATCATTTCATCTACGTTTACATCATCTAATGTTTACATTCTAAGGCATCTTTATTTTCCCTGAGGGGGTGATTTGTTTATTTTGGGTCTTGCATACCTGCAAAAACACTCAGGACTGTGAACTAGTTTTATTTACTGTATTATTTAGTATGTATCTAGATTTGTTGTACTGTTGAATTGAATTGTTTTTTTATTATTATATATATATATTTTTCTATGTTCATCTTATTTAATTTGCTTTGTTATTTAATATACATGCTTTAAAACTGGCAGTTTAAAAAAAAAGTGATAATAATCGAGATCAGATGATATGAAAAAATATATTGTGCTCATTTTTTATTTTGCCTAATCCCCCAGTCCTAATTCAGAGCATTTCAAAACATATTATACATTCCCTCAATAAGGGTCTGATGAGAGGGCATTTGAAACTGAGGTTGCGGGCACTACTAGTGCAAAAAAACAAAAAACAAAAAAAGGATAAGAAGAGCGTAGTGCAGTGCAGTCAGTAATCAAATGTGTGTGCTCAGTTGACTTTGAACAACTGCCAGAAAGACAAATACATATAAAATTTAACAGAGGACTGAAAAAGGTTTTCTTCAAATTACTATCAATACCACATAACATGTTCATGATTGTGAGTCAAAAATATGAAAAGAAAGTCTCAGATTGAATTATATCTGTTTTTTTCATTTGTAATTTAAGTGTGTATGTAATTTAGAAACATATAGGCCTTGAGTCCATAAAGACTGTGCGTTGGTAACGTCATACGACCAAAATGTTTATACTCTTACTGGATGTGTTGGTGAGAAGCAGCAGTCTGTATTGAAAAGGCATCACCAAACTCACTGTAGCGTGACACTGCAGATGTATTTAGTAGCTTAGTAAGAGGATATTCAATTTATTCATGATGCAAACCGCAGAGTCGATGTGTGTGAGTGAGGGACTGTGTGCAAGTGCATGGCGAGTGTGGAGTGAACCATGAAATGAAAACACCCTATAACCATTTCCCTGCATCTCTCAATTAGGACATCATCTATGCAGAGGGAGTGTTCATGAGTGGCTTCTTCTTTATTTACAGTTACACACCACAGTGCTGACAAACATGGTGCTGAGGGGGAAAAATTCTGCCGAAGATGGGAACAGAATACCAGACATGTATAAGTTGCTGCGTGTGTCCTCTACAACTTGTGGGCTTAATAGTTACTGTGCTTAATAGTTAATGCCAGCTGCCAGGAAGTGTGGGCATACTGTATATGATATACAACTCCCTTACAAAAAAGCATCCCCTGAAACTTTCTGAGTCAATGTAGCATCACTGTGAAACTCATGTCTTATTAAATACTTGTTCTCTTATGCCCAGCGTCCATTTTGGGTCCTTGCCCAGAGTTACCTGGCAACCTTGTGCAACTTTTAAGTGTAAGGACACTTCTGTCTAACTATTTTTTTTAGAACTTTTAACTCTGTCAGTTAGGGAGAGACTTACTGGACAGATTTTGATGATCTAGGCAAGTGAAATGGCATGGGACAACACTATTTAAAGACCCACTCTGATGAAAATCATGTTTTTCTTGTTTTTTTACATGTTCATTTTTCCTGATGCTACAGGAAATGACATGAGAAAAATAAGTGCAAAATTGCATTTCTGAGTATTTCTTCATTCAAATCACTGTGACAGACCCAAACGGCAGGTTCAGATAGAGTGAGATTACCTACTTCACAAATCCAAGCTCCGCCCCTGGAGCCCTGCTATGCAGGCCAGACTCTGGGAAATGGAGAGGACAATTGTGGAGCAGATGTGTGCGTTAGTGGATTTCAATGCTCGTAAGAAAGCTATTTATGATATCAATTTTCATCATGTTCCCAAAGACATTAGTGTCCAAGAACTGAATATCTTCTATGTTCCCTGCTTCTTTTACTGCACCGGCAATGTTAAGCTACAAGTTAGCGTGAAGACGAGTGTGAGGAGCAGCAATGTCTCCACCCACAACTCAGAGGCAAGTTGCTAATGAGCTACTGGAGCTCTTGCACAAGAAAACCCCTTGAAAATGACACAGATAACGTGATTTTGGCTAAAAACTTCATAAATCACAATTTAAAGACCACTGAGAACATTTTAAGTAGAAAGATAAAATAAAAAGATCAGAATGGGACTTTCAAGGCTTTTCCAGTCTTCACTCTACTCTGTGCACAATTGCATTTGCCCTTTCATACACATCTTATCACACTGCAGCCTGGGGTTTAGTGTCTTTCAAAGCACACTTGGATTTGTAGAATCAAACCCCGGACTTTTCAATTGAGAGAAGAGCCACTCTACCACTGAGCCAATGTCACCACACAGATAGAAATACTTGTAGATGTGGCTGGATAGATGAATTACGAAAGAGTATTAGGGTCACATGAGGAGAAAAAAAAAATACAGGAACAAGATTAAAGCCAAAATTTCAAGATTAAAGTCAACGCAAATTAAGATGAAATTTCATGAGTAAAGTCATAATGTTGAGATTAATGATAATGAATCAACAGCATTGTCGCTCGTCACTCAACAACATGTCCTCTGTAGAACAGTTTGTAAAGCTTTACTTGGATTCAGTTACAAAGAAATCCTTGCTCTTTTAGCACACAAACACAGTGTGGTCCTAAGCATTCAGACCCTAAGAAGACTGTGCCGAAGACTATGATGCACATGCAGGGTTATCGATGGTTACACCTGCACACTATACAACAAGGCAATATGTTGTATAGCAAGATACAATAAGACAACGGATCAAGTTGATTGATCCTGAAGGCACAGATGAGCCCAGAGTGTGGCGTGCAGGCATTACCAAAGCTGAGGACCCAATGCACTCTGGCACATGGATGGCTAGACAAATTTAAGCCATAGGCTACATATCCTTTCGACTTTTTAAAATTTCAACTCTAACCTTGAAATTTTGACTTACATCTTGAAATGGAAATTTTAAAAAATCCTCTTTCATAATAAATAGATTTGGTCATGAAATGCTAAATCTACCTAACGGGTGCTCAACCTCGACACAGACAAGGTCCTGCTGTCCACATGCCGAAGTTTCCTTGACCCCACCTGCTCCCTCTGGCTCTGCCTGGTTGTGTGTAAATGGGATAAGTCAAAAACTGGTTGGCTCATTACACAGCATCCTCTGCCATCAGGATGTGAATGTGGTGTGAGTTGGTGAATATAGCATGTAATGCAAAAGCTATTTGAGTGGTCAGAAGGCTAGAGAAACTGCTTTACAAAACAAAGTCCATACTTATCTAATTGCATAATTCACAAAAAGTGCAGGACTATTGCCTTGATTTAGAAATGACTTTCTAAGAGGAACATTTTCATCCTACAAAGGAGGGAATGGCAGAACTGTGAAATGTGAATCAATCATGTCTCACGCTCCAAGTTTCACTAACCATTTAGATAAAGATGGGAATCGGAGTGTGATCCATAATACATTTCAGTATGTTGGGTGATACAGGATACCTGTACTTCAAGACTTGATATTTCATGCATGTAAACATTTCTCAGATTTGTTGAATATTTATTCCACATCATATCATATTTTTGGAAAGATTTGTTGGCTACTTCTTGTGTTAATGGCAGAAATGAAACAGTTGTTAGGATAGGACTTCAGTGTCTGAATTTTTTTCCTTTTTTTAAGCGCAAAACGGTCAGCACTGTATTAATTTTCTATTGGGAAGTACTACTTCATAGAATTTACACAACAATAGGAGTATTTTGATCCACTCAGATGTTGCAGACAGAAATGTTAGCGTCACAAAGTGGGAGTAGCATATACCAAGCAAACCCCTGCAACTGAATTTGGGCTGCAGAGCATCTGCTTTATACACTCTGTGTACAGCCTTGTGTACAGAGAAGCATTTAGATTCCCCAAAGACAGCTTTAAAATCAGAACCGTCCAGGGATCAACAAAAAGAACCAGTCCATGCTGGCCCTTCATCATCCATTAGGCTCTGTGGGAGTGGCGCTGTAAACATCGCCAAGTCCAGGTGTTGACGTGCTCCATAAATTCCAGCTGAGAACGTAGCGGTGCATTCAGGCCTCTTTAGAAATGCAGGGCCACTCTATTCCTCTGATATTTTATACATGAAGCGAGCCATTTACAGTCTGATGAGCAAGTCTGGCTTATTAATGATATGGCTGTGCTCTTAGGGTGTCGGGCGCCAAGCAAATACTCATGTAAAATTAAACACGATTTGTTTACATAGCCGCAAATCAGACCACTCTTGGGCTTTGTTGCAAAGCCTGATCAGGGCTGAAACACCCATTTCATTTAGTTATGAGACACTTTACTGGACACAACACACACTTTCAGAAAACAACAGTTTGAACACAGTTGAGTGTGCTGGGGATGTGATTCCTGTTTGAGTAATTTTTGGCTCACACATCTGCAAAACGAATGATGTCATAAGTCGAGCAAAGTCCTGACAAGACTAGAGGGCTGAATTATTCAATGATAGCTCCACTTTTGTGGAATTATTCTAAGTATTATAATTACAGCTGGGTTGGCCTCGACCTGCTGAGGGAGAGAGAGAGAGGCCCTGCGGCCCATCAGCCAATGCTATCATGTTACCATGAGCACACCAAAATGCTCCCTTAATAATGGCCAAATTGAGGGAAAAGCATTGACTTGAACTGAGACCAAACAAAAGACAATATTTTTTCAACGTACCAAGGATTAAACGGATGGTTCTCACATGGCTCTGTCGGTTATTTGCACAGACAAAACACAACACTTTTGTCACCTTTGTGTTTATATACAGTATATATTTATATATTTATACACACATACATACACAAAGGAGCTTGACTGTGAATTAAGATCAAAACATAAAGTGGCCATTGCAACTGAGGTGGAAACCACCATATTTGTTCTTTAGAAGTTTATCCCCCAGTTTATGGAGCTTTTCTGTTGGGCGTTTTGATTGACATATTTGTATGAATGACTATTTTATTTTATTTTTTTCAACCTTTTGGATACCTGTATGGCAAACAAGGTTTGTACATATGCCCTTAAAGTTGTGTGTTTGTTTTTTTTGGTTCAGTATAGGTGCCCTTAAGGGGACATGAGGGGAAAAAAAATAAAAAAGGATTTTCTCAAGATCTTTTGTGCAAGCTCGCAAAACTATTGCAAGTTCTTGCAAAGTTGTCAAAGGGTTATGAGTAAAAACAGTATAGATCAGTGTATTTCTTCGGAATCAACCCAAATGGTGGAACGCACGCATTTGTGTGAAAGGTTCATTGTGTATATTTTGAGATTGACCTGAGATAAAAAGATATTAAATCAGTTCTGCGGCGCAGGCACTGTTTTTTTTTATCAAACACGAGTCATGAAGGACAATTTGAAAGAAAATTCCTACGGTCAAGGGACATCCTGAACACGGATCTTGGGCTATATTTACATGCCCGCCAGTGGCGCGGCAAACAGTGGCACACCCTGCGCAGTGGTATTTTCGTCTAGTGGAGCCTGGCGCACAGCCAGATTGGTATTTTCGTAGACTGAGGCACACCGAGGTCAGCCAAGCTGGGCGTGGTGGCACGCCAGGGGGAGGTGTCGAGAGAATCAGCTGGCACAGTGACATTTTCGTGCTCACCGACAGTTAGGAAAGTGTGCTGAAAGCTCGCCGATTCAAACCTGGTCAGCTTTCAGCGCAGGTGGAGCATAGCTGGTCAAGTGGTATTTTGGAAGACCGGCGGCGTAGTGCGCATACGTCACCAATGCCTCACCTGCAGTTTCCCACAGTGTCAGGCACATTTCAGTGCAATATATCGATATATTCTGATCTTTATCTTATCTGATGAGTGCATTTGGACACTCGACTTGACCGGATTAACACAGCTGAAACTGCATTAAATTAAATATCTAGTAAGCAGTCACACATGATGAAGTTATAAGATATTTAAGTCGTCTCCCCCCTTTTTCTCCTCGACCGGACATGTCTCCTGCCCTGCCTGCCCTGCTGCTGCGGTGGCTGAACAGATTATTTATTTTAGTGATCAGATGAATTATTTACTTCAAAAATTTCAACAAAAAAATTAAAGAAGCTTCCATTACAAATTACTGGTTTATCTGACGTTCTCACATCCTTAAAATTCTGTGAATATTCAATCCAGAGTCATGCCTAGATAGGAATTTTATAATATTCAGTTGCGTGATTTCATCTTATATGCCAACAACTATGAAAGAAACAGCCAGGCCCATGGAGCACGATGCATCCTTTATGCATATGTTTTTCCGATTTTATGCTATTATTGGAATTTATGTTGTGATCTGTGTGCACAACCCACCTTTGTCACATGAGGTTTAAATAAATGCAACTTCATGTGATTGTCTTTATTTGTGGAGAAGGGTGTTTTACCAGTGGGTCCAACCTTACACCAAATCCATCTGTGCTTATATGAGAGTGTGAAGGACGCCCTCTGCAGCGCTTACAGGAAGACTTGTTGAAGGGCTTCTTTTATTGTCGCCATTGTGTGACACTGCTGTCTTCAGCCATCTCTTGATCTCTTCGACTACTGCACGAAAATTGTAACAAGTCTCGCTGGTGGCGGATTTTAAGGTGAGGAGAGGAGCTGATGTGATTGGTGAAAACAGGTCTTGGCTGTGTTAAACCCCACTCTACGCCCTCTCTCCTCCCTCCCTACTACTTATGCCACTGGGAGGAGCTGAGTTAGGGAGGGGGATACTTACGCCGGGCAGCATCGGTCACCAAAATACCAAAGTGTGCTTGGGCATGCCTTGTTGGTGTGGCAGACCTGACTCATGCCACGCCTGCGCCATGCCGCCGGCGAGGCACGAAAATAGAGCCCTTTATGTGCATGCAAAGGGACAAGGTGAGCAGAAAAGGAGTTCAACATAAAATTCAATGAACCTTTCCCACGGCTGTGTACGTTTCAATATTTTTGTCGAATTGACCCAGAAGTTATACGCTGATCAATAACTCCTGAGACAACATTTGCGAGATCTTGCAATAGTTTTGCGAGGGCACGCAAAAAATCTTGACCAAATTCTTTTTTTTTTTTTTCCATTCATGTCCCTTTTGGGGCTCCGTAGAATCAGGACTGCTTGAGTAAGGTTTTAACTGCAGCTGTCCTTAGGGTGAATTCGTAGATAACATGCAGACTTACCTGCTTACATTGAGGCTTAAAGATAATTCCTCTTTTATTGATGTAGAAAGCCTACTTACTTCAAGTAAAACCTCGTATTTCTCAAACTTTTGTGACGAGTTTGTCATCCTACTCAAAGATAATTATGCAGTCTGGGGAAATTATGCCTACATTGTGCTCTTGAGGAGATAATTGCAGTGTCGAAGCCTATGTATCACATGAGGATGGAGCCTTGTTCTTCAAATTAAATGCATGAATGTCACTAACAGCCTATGTATATTTTCAGTACTGCTTGTATTACACTAAGTTGCTATGTTACGGCATATTTCCCTTGATGATACCAAAGGAAAAACAAAATTATTCTGTTAATTGAGCTGTTGTCAGGAGATGAATAATCACGCATGTATAATTCCTCAAGGGAAAACAACATTCAAAATTAACTTTGAGAGAAAATGTGATTTCCATAATTTACATTCTTCGGTTTCTGTTCTTTTTTTTGGCCTTTCTGGTGCTGTACATTTCATTAATTTCAGACCCAAAGAACTGCTGGAATCGACTTGTTAAGCAGATAAATAAATTGCTCCACATTAATGAATTCCTCAACTATAAAATCACACTCCCATCACAGGTGTGGAGGCAGGTTGTGATTTAGGTTGATGGACGACTAATCAGGAAATCAATTAGGCTTTGACCCAGAAAATGAGACAAAAGGGAAGAATTATGGTCTTCATTTCTTTCCTCTGGCTCTTTCATATCTTGACTTGGACCCTCTGGTGTCTCTGCTAGGACAAAGGAAATCCTCTGGGCTTTCAGGGTTTCTATACCAAAGTATATCAGGACACAGTCACTATGTTTTATTACTATATACTGATATATTCACCAGGTGACAAAAACAACAAAATAAGAGATAAATCTGAGAGACTGTCTGTTCAGAGTGGGCTTCTTTTAGACCATTTGTTGTAAATGGAATAATTTGATAGACTGGTAAAAACCAGTCTGTTAGAAAAAAAACAACAACCTTCTCCCATAGTATAGGTAGATTTTTGGTATCCATCTTTGGGGCAGAAAATAGAGCCAAATAGCAGAGTCTCCAGGTCTGAAACAGCTGGATCCCCCCCATCACACACACACACACACACACACACACACACACACACGTATATATACTCACACAATCCCCTATCAGTTCGACCTCTTGAGGTCAGACATAAAGGCTCGCCTTTTCAGCAGCATCCACTTAGTGCTCGGATTGAAGACAGACATATTATCCATGTACCTTGGCCTATCGCGTTCACTTTGTATTGACTGAGTCAAACGGAACAAATGTGTCTTTATGTGGGCAGAGGTGCAAGACTCTCTGAAGATTGAAAAAAGAGAGACTAGAGGACACAGAGGGGGAGTGAAAATGTCGTAGTTAAGACATGAGTTATAATTGGTTAGAGGCATATTTTATCAGAGTTTAGTCATTTTCATGGACACATGATGAAGGTAACGGTTAATTTATTTTCTACAGGGACTTGATGCTGTATTTTTATACCTACTCTGATATCCAGATTTTATATACATCTAACATGTACACTTGCCAAAGAACAATTTTAATGCAGATTTGAACTTTTTAAGGACATCTAAAGTTTTGTAATGAGAGTATTTTGACAAAGAAATGGTCTCTATCGGACATTTCACAGTTGATCCAGCTATCACTAATCTCTGGTGCAGGAGCTTGGAGAAGTTTTGGCTTGGGGTAGCTGCGCGGTGCACCGACTTTTGCAGGGGTGTGTGAAGAAGTGTACATATACAAGTCTGAAACAGCCTTTACTTATACTTTACCCAGTCTCTGTGCAGTTTGCACTTCATGGTTTGTTACTTTTTAATGCATACGCATTTACCTTGAATGGCAACAAAAATGCTTGGTAAAGTATAACATGTCTATCCTTTTTTTTTTTTTGAAGATGCAGAACATAAAAAATTACTGAAAAAAGTACTAACAAAATATTGTCAGATTGAAGTGCTATGAAAGCTGCTTTGTCTATCTGAAACAGAGCCTGATGTCTTTAACCAGCTGACTCATTGTTTAGGCTCTGTGATGGTTTTGTTTAACTGTTATTGTAAATACACATTGATATAAGACAGACACTTTCATTTTGTTTGGTGCAAAGATGGTGATGGTGGTGAATAGTTTCTTCCTTACTGGTTATTTGATTTTGGTTAAGTTTAATATTTGAAAGTCTTTGGATAATATTGTGATCTCTGCTGGTCATACCTGGACTCCCAGATGCCCCCTGCTCTGCGCTGGGTGGGAGAAAAAAATCAATACAGCATAGTATCATGATATTTTGTCTGGTAATAGATCGTATCATCTCATTGACCAAGTATTGATTTTTTCAAATTAATTGTAAGTATGAAGTCAAATCTATGATAATGGAAAAATAAAATCAACTGTTTGTCCAGTGAGGTTGGCAGAGGTGACATCATAGAGCAGGAGAAAGTTAATACAACAAATATACAACAACCTGGAGAAAGACATTAGGAATGCAAGCAGGGCACAAATGAGATGGTCCTGACACATGAGCTTTGCAAGATGTGCTACATAAAGATAAAATACTGTGTCAATAAGAAAACATGAAGGAAAGACAAATGCTAAATTAGCTAAACAGTGAAAAAAATTGTATAAATCCCGATATATTCTGTATCGCAATACTCACTGTATTGCAAAATGTTAAAAATTGCACTAACATAGTATCGTGGCCCAAGTATCATGATAATATTGTATCCTGGAGCCACTGGCGACCCTCCCCCCACCCCCCACGACTAGAGTATGCAGATGAGTCTGATGGTTACACTCACCTCAGAGGTGTCTCAGGTTCTCTGTTTAAAACTCTGCCCGGGGGACTTGGCAGTCCCTGTTTTCACTGTTGGACGTCTGAATCTTCATGTGCAGTGTGAGCATTTAAGATAGAGCTTTCCAGACTTTGAACGTTTGGCGCACAATACTTTCTCTGTGAGGAATAAATAGTGCCATATGCTGATCAGACCTTTTAACATATGGTATTTTGCTTTTATTGTTTTGAGTACAACCACCAGACAATTAGACAATTAGTGATGGCAGTTTGACACTTTAAAGAGTCATAGCTGTGGAAAGTATTGGATGGATTCTGGCTTCAATCAAACACTGACCTCGGAAAACTTGCTAGATATTTTAAATAGCTGTCTCTCCATGTGTTTAAAAAAGCATTTTGTCTTGTTGAGTATATTAGACTTGTTGTTGAGGGTGCACTCGACTTACACCTTCAAAACAACACATTCATCCTGCATTGCCCGCAAGACACTTCAGATATATTATCACGTCCAAACGAGAATTCCCTGGGTCCCTGTAAGTAAACCTTCCAAATCCCCAGCTCTCATCCCTATTTTCCTTCCAAAAACGAGCATTAGAAGGATTGCCCTGCTATTGTTGCTCCCCTTGGGAGCAAATCTATTTCTGCAGAGATGGAAATTGTCGGTCCCCACAAAGCTGCTGACACACTCTCAATGGAGGTGTCAATTCTCAAGGCCTCGCCTTTGTGGACTGGATAATTTAATTGGAGAGGCACGACGGTGTGTCCCCGGTCGGGCCATTCAAATGTTGTATTACCGCCTGTCCCAGCGCTGGCTCCTCTCCTGCTGCGGAGATTCAAGATTCGACTCCCCCCACCCCTACCCCTTAGATTCCTCCCTCTCCTCCCTGTGCAGGTGGGGGTTGGGGGTGGGGGCACAATATGGACTCGGGCCTCTTAGAGAGCCTTTTGTTGGAGCAGGAGACACAACCTCGTGGCCTCATAGTCTTAGAGAGGCTGTTCGCAGGGGAGGAGGGTGAACCTGTGCCTCTATTACCTGGGAGTCGACTCGGGGGCAGGAGCAAAATTAGTCAGCAGATAATGAAGCTGTCTTTGATTGCAGAGAACGAAGGCTGGAGGGGGCTTGACTGGATGGGAGGGTCGGGGGGGATCTTCTGTACAGGGGGCCTCCACAGGGCATGAGAAGCATGTCTTTGGAGGAGCGCCTGCTGTCAACGGATGCTCTGTTTCTCTGAGATCCTGGCATAGTTTAGGGTTGAAAGATGCACGAGGGTTGGAGAGGAACACATTCCTTTGTGCGGCTGCTGCAGGTGAACAGGGTTCAGAGAGACAAGTGCTTACACAGACAGAGGGAGTGAAAAACACACAAAACATTCCTTCATCAATATCAATGCTTTTTGATTTTTTACAGAGGTGCTCTTAAATCATAGAGGTCCTGTTTGACTTCCTCTTTAGGACAGTACAAACTTTTTACTTTTCTCACTTTTTAAATCAAGGATCATTTGATCTGTGCAGAATCACTGGCATCCAGCAATTGTAAGAATTGATGTAGCTTTTTTGAAACTGAAATGTGATGACCTGCCTTTACCAATTTTCATCTTTATCTGTCAGAGTGCGTGTCTCAATGTGCATCTGTTTGTCTTGCTCTGTAGTTGTCACGACAACCTGTGCACCCGGCTCATGGCCGCCCTCCAAGCGCAGACAAAGCTGTCGTCGAATGAACCAGGCGTGTGTCCACTGGACCTGAGGGGTGCCGCCACTGCTAACAAAACACACAAAGACCCTCGACCCTGGCACTGGCCCTCAACCCGTCTGCCCGCTATTCTGCCCCTCCCAATCCTCACTCACACACAAACACACACTGCTGCATGCTTCTTTGTGCCTGCTCCAAGAGGAGGAAGTTCCACTCGTCTCCTTTTCAAGGTAGTCCTGCCACCCATGCCCTTCTCTCACACTTTGGGAGAATGGGTACACACACACAGACACACACACACACACACACACAGTCTTTGAAAGACGCTTGGTTTTCGGTCACCATCTATGCAAGATTTAAGCCAACACTAGGGTGACCATACGTCCTCTTTTACCCGGACATGTCCTCTTTTGGGGGGCTGTTAAGGGAGTTTATAAAATCCTTCAAATGTCTGGGGTTTTGAATTTGTGTAGCGTGGACTTACTGCGTGTAAAAAACACTCTACCTGACCCAAAAAAACCCTCTAAATTTTGTGCGCAACTCCGCCCTCGATGGTAGTGACCTCTCTTTGGGGATTCAGGATATGGTCACTCTAGCCAACACAGTGCAACTTCACAAATGTCAGATTTTTGACGTTGAAAATTATTTAACCCATGCTAATCAGGTTTTCAACCAGCAGGGCTGAGAGAGTCAGGAGATACCAAATACAATCACACTCTCCTTAATGTTATCGTATATTTTGATGCATTCTTGATCGCTGACACCTAGTGGAGCATGGGGCATTCATGTACTCATGGGCACATATTCATTAGACCAGCATTCTTTGACAGGACTTTGAAAATAACACTGATATAAAAGTAAGGCAACAAATCACAAGACTAAAAAAATACTCTCATCACAACAAACTAAATAAACATGAGTCTAAAAACACTATTCACATTAGCTAACCTTTCATCAAAAAAGAATAACTCTCAGACGCAGGAACATTTTCAGCCTTTTCAGTCTCTTATCTTGAAACTTTATTCCCTATATCAGCACATGTTTAAAGCCCCTTCCAACCTTGCTAAATGACTGAGTGTTTTATCTCCACACCTCAATTTTTTATTGCGCAAGATAACCTAGGTAAGTCCAGACAGAGCCCCCCCCCCCCCCCAGCTCAAAAGTCCTCTCACAAAAATCCTTTACACAATAAGACTGACAAATAAACTAATCTTTATATTTCATCATTACAGTGTCTTTTTTGTTTTAAGGGGAGTGTAAATTCTTCCTTCATATCAATGAAACCCACACAAAGATATTCTACTTTACACCTAAGTACTCATAAAATCAAACAAGTCCATTTGATTTAAAATGAAATAACCGGAGTAGACAGACTGAGTCAGAAGATGATCACAGTGTGTTCTTTAGCATAAGTTGTCACACCAAGCTCATGCATCATGTCAGCTCATGGGCAAACCTTACAATGATAGACAAAAGCAATTTGGAGAAGCAATTTTCAGTTTCCTGTTTCCAGCATCAGTTTCCAGTCTGCTTTACTATTTTGATAAGTATTGTTCCTTGCTCTTCTGCCTTTGGTTTAGAATGATGGAAGAAACAAAAGGTCTTGAGGCTGCGTGTCGTCTGGTTTAACTGAAGCTGTAGTAGATGGGGAAAGAGTTTGTGTTGAATTTGTTCCCATTTTATATATTGACAGGTAGGGGTGGGAATCACCAGTGGCCCCATGATACGATGTTATCATGATACTTGGGCCACGATACATACGATATTATTATGATTTTTAACATTTTGCAACGCAGTGAGTATTGGGATTCAATTTATTGCGATTTATATAATTTTTCAACTGTTAAGCTAATTTAGCATTTGTCTTTCCTTTACTGATGTCTAATTTATGCTGTATTTTATTTTTATATAGCACATTTTGCAAACCTTTTATAAATTTGGTGCACTGACTTTCTCCTGCTCTATGGTGTCACCTCTGCCAACCTCACTGGACCAACAGTTGATTTTATTTTTCCATCATTATAGATTTGACTTCACATCAAAAACTAATATGAAAAAAACTATACTTGGTCAATGAGACGATACGATATATCACCAGACAAATATAGAGATATTATACTGTATTGATTTTTTCTCCCACCCCTACTGACTGGAAGGGTGTCTGTCACAGGAAACCTAGTTCCACTTTAATTATTGTAGATAACCAAATGGTTTTTGCATTTGAAATCCTAAAATTTCTTTCATTTTTGGCCCATCTTGTTGCAGCAGATGGTTGTTCAGCATGACATTGGTCTGGCCTAAGGTTTCTGCCTTGAAATATTTCTTCCTGCCACTGTTTGGCCTGAATGTAACTGATACAGAGGTTATGGTTCAGCTGTGTTTGAGTCTTCACAAACCATAACTGAGAACTCTGGTTCTGGTTTGGTCCTATGTAAATAAAGATCTGATTGATCCTTCAGCTCAAGGAGGTAGGTTCTTCTGTGCCTGTATGCAAACTAAAGTCAATCAACTAACTTCACAACAACAACATACCCACATCACATTAAAGAATATAACCAGACTAACATGACATGGTGTGAGCGCAACATTCCCTTTTTAATAGCTGATACTGAATCCATAGGAAATTCATTTGTTACACTTGTGAAATCAATGTCTAAAGAATTCCAGGGACAAGAAAAAAAAAAAACTCCCTAAAACTGTAGTTTGACCTTCAACCTCAGGAGTCATTTCTTCCACACAGCAGTAAAGTTTTTCGGGTATCTGCATCATGAGATCAAACTTTATCTCAAGCCTGGCTCACTTTAATCAAGGTTACCCACTTAGCTCAGTGTCTCGCCAATGATGTCATGAAGGTGGATGAAAGGCGGTGAAATACAGTTTGGCCTCAAAACAGGGCCTCCAACCTCTTAATGAATATGACCTCTGAGTCCTTCCCACAATTCCCTGGGCTCTCATTCTCCCTCTACAAAAAAAAAAAAAAAAAAAAAAAAACTACAGTGTTTAATGATTCAAGGACTCTGGGGTGAGCTCCAGCTCTAATCAATGAACCCATCTACGGGGAGCCTGTATCCCTGGTGATGCAGTTGCCAAGACAGTCAAGCTTGGCAACTCCGGTTGACTGTGGTGATGAGTTCCTGTTGGAAGAGCCCCTCCGCCCCTCTGTCATGGACTGTTTATCTGAACTGGTAACATAGTCATAAAGTGTTGAGCTTTTTCTTCTTCATAATGTCTTCAGTTTTTTCCATAATTCAGGAAATTTTAGTTTTAGATTTTGTCTGAAAGTTTCAGATCTTGTTAACTTTAAAAGAAACAAATAAAAGGATAAAAGGAGGAGAGAGAGCAGCATTTTGTTGAGAGATATTAAAAGGTTTTTTAAATGCTATTAGGAGTTGGACGGGATGTTTTCTAAGTGTCTCTCACAGTCTCATTAGGACAATCATTTTTCAGACAAATATGCAGCTAGATTCCTTATCTTTCTGGGACATTTGTTCCTTTTTTTTTTTTTTTTTGATTTGGCGTGATTGTATATTTTGTGGTTTAATAAATCTTTCGGTCAGTCTGGAAGCTTTGTTTGAGAGTTTGCCTTTCAGAGACAGCCTTCTGTGTTTCATACTTGCCTTCTTTCAGAGGAGTTCCCTTCTGCTTTGTTATTTTTAAAACACTAAAAGAGCCCCCAAGAAAGGTTTAAAAAATGGAGGGAAGAGCCTTTTCCACTGCTCTTCTCATTGATGAAATGTTTCCTCTTCCTCTTCTATTATTTAGGTGGTTTTCATTGGAGAACTCCCAGTGGCACCCGGTGAGATTTGCATCCTGATTTATTTGTCATATATCCTTTATATCTCTAAATTCTTTATACCTCTCCAGTGGCCCCATACATCTTTCATGGGCTCCTCAGTAGTGTTTGCAGGCCAGATCCAAACACATTTTACATGTCACACTGCTGCTGCAGCGTGCCTATTTCACCTTGGGTGTGTGGGCTGAATGAAAAATTTAACATCATGTCGTTTAATTTTTTTCCCTCCTCACACCACCAAGTTTTTTGGCGTACTCAGTGTCAGGAGTCGCCACCTCACAGGCTGTTTTCTGTCTCTTCCTCCGTCTTCTGGTTTGTGTTGAACTTTTGAAACTGCAAGAGAAGCATCTCTGTGACCTGGAAAAGGTTGTTTTGTTGAGGATGAATGACTGACACAATTAGGTGAGCGTGGAAATGATCTGTTGATGGCACCCACAGGGCAAGTCAAGTCAAGACACATTAAATTTATGAAGTGTTTTCACAATTCAAGTTCATCACAGGGAGACTTTTGAGAAAATAAAACATTCATTCTCTAACAGCAGATTTTTTTTTTGTTTTGTTTTCTGATTTTCAGTTTTTGGACTTGAAGTGACCTTTGGCACCTATTTTTAGTGAGGAACAGCTGTCAAAAAAATACACTGAGAACCCAAGCACCTCTTATTTTGGCCGGCCAGACTTTTCTCTTTCTTATTTACACAACTCACAGACAATAGCAACCCCCTCTATAAGAAAAACCAGCGGGAGATAAGAGTGACACGGTTAAATGTGACAATACTTTGAACTGGCATCATACAGCCTTTCCCCCCCACGCCATAGAGCAGGGGGATAAAGATAAACATGTTTGTAATGGTGTAAATTTAATTCTCCATTTGGCCTGTTTTGCATTTACTCTCACCCACACACAGAATGGAAGGAGGGGAAAGCAGTCCCAGCTTATTAATTCCCCAACAGTGATTCCCCTATCTCCCTCTGTCTGTCTCTGTTGACATGCTGCCACTCCAAGCCGTTCCGCTGATTTTTATTTTCCTCACGCTGGCACAAGCTAAAGCACCGCATATGTGGTGCGCAATGTGGGAAACACTCCGGCCTTTTCCCCGGAATCAGAGCGCAGAACGCGGAGACAGATTGTGATGCTGGAATGCGCCACCGAGCCTTACAATCCCCATCTGCTCGGCCGAGCTGAGGCTGAGCGGAGGGAATGACGGAGGGATGGAGAGACGGAACTAGAGGAGAGGAGGCAGAATGATGGAGTGGCTATTAAATATACAGCAGGCAGTGGAGAGCATGCAGGGTGTTGTTGGGAGGCTTCTGCATTATCATGCTCCATCTCTTCATTTCTCTTTTTCGCTCTATTTTAGTACCAGTGTCCTCTCT